GCCCACCGCCCTCGCCCAAGCCCAAGATAAGACCACACACAGTTTAACTGATATGACTTCCAGATGGTCGTGTAACTGTTGTAATACCTCCCTCGGCAAGGTAGCCAGTAGCAAAGATTTAAAGGATTGGCTGATCTACAAGTGCCAGGGTCCCCCCAAAGAGCAGCTCCAGCAGGCCCAACAGTTGGCAATGAGAACGGGACTTGGGCACCCGTCCCATGTCCTCGCGTTCTGCGACCCGTATTGGGTATGCACGGCTTGCGGGTGCAGAGTTCAAGTTGGGAGAGGCCATTTGCGTGGTTTGGCGGAGGAGTGTAAGTGTCGAGATGGCCAGCCCCCCCCCCCCCGCACCCCACCAAGATGGGGGCTTGGGCAATTTCACGTGTGATGGAGGGCCGTCCCTTGCAATAGGGCGGCCTTGGGGCGCCAAACGGGGCCCGCCCACGCCTGCTGCGCCTGCTAGGCGGGTTATGGCCCTGGTGGCTCCACCGAGTGCGTGCGGTAGGTGTGGGCGGGCGGCCCCGCTTCTCGCCCTCTCTCGGCAAGGTCTACTTCGAGGCCCACTCTTTGAAGCCCTCGTGTCGCCCTGACCAAGTCAGATTGGGAAAGCCCTGGGAAAGTTCTCCTCCTCCTCCTCATTCTCCTCCTCCTCCTCCTCCTCCTCCTCCTCCTCCTCCTCCTCCTCCTCCCCCTCCTCCTCCTCCCCCCTCCTCTTCCTCCCCTCCTCATCCTCCTCCTTCGCATGCTCATCCTCATGCTGCTCTTCCTCGTCTTCCTCCTCCGCCTCCTCCTCCTCCTCTTCATCGTCCTCCTCCTCATTCTGCTCCTCCTCCTCCTCCTCCTGCTCCTGCTCCTCCTGCTCCTCCTCTTCCTCCTGCTGCTCATCATCATCCCCTTCCTCCTCATCCGCCTCCTGCTGCTGCTCATCCTCCTCCTCCTGTTCATCATCCTCCTCATTATCATCATCCTTCTCCTCCTCCTCCTTCTTCGTCGCATTGTCCTCCTCAACCTCCTCCTCGTCCTGTTCCTCATCCTCCTCCCCGTCCTCCGCCTCCTCATCCTCTTGCTGCTCCTCCTCCCCCTCGTGCTCCTCTTCTATTCCTCATCCTCCTCCTCCTGCTGATCCTCCTTCTTCTCCGTGTCCTCCCCCTCCTCCTACACCTCCTCCTGCTCCTCCTCCTCCTCCTCCTCATCCTCATCCTCATCAGCATCATCACTATCAGCAGCAGCATCAGCATCCTGTTTCTCTTCCTCCTGCTCCTGCTCCTGCGCCTGCTAATCCTCCTCCTCCTGCTTCTCCTCCTGCTCTTGCTCATGCCTCTTCTCATCCTCCTCCTCCTGCTCCTCCTTCTCCTGCTCATCCTCTTCCTCCTGTTCCAGCTCCTGCTCCTCCTCCTCATCCCTCCCCTCCTCCTCCTCCTCCTCCTCCGCCTCCTCCTCCTCCTCCTCCTCTCCTCCTCTCCTCCTCCTCCTCCTCCCTCCTCTCCCCTCCTCCTCCTCCTCTCCTCCTCCTCCTCCTCCCCCTCCTGTTCCTCCCTCCTCCTCATCCTCATCCTTCTTCTCCCTCCTCCTCCTCTCCTCCTCTTACCCCTCCTCCTCCTCCTCTCCCTCCTCATCCTCCTCATCATCATCATCCTCCTCTTCATCATCCTCCTCATGCTCCTCCTCATGCTGCTCTTCCTTCTCGTCCGCCTCCTCCTCATCCTCCTCCTCCTCATCCTCCTCCTCCTTCTGATCCTCCTGCTCCTGCTACTCCTGCTCCTCCTCCTCCTCCTCCTCCTCCTCAGCCTCCTCCTCCTCCTCTTCCTCCTCCGCCTGCTGCTGCTGCTCCTCCTCGTCCTGCTCATCATCCTCCTCATCCTTCTCCTCCTCCTCCTTCTCATTGTCCTCCTCAACCTCCTCCTCATCCTGTTCCTCCTCCTCCTCCTCCTCGTCCTCCTCCTCCTCATCATCCTCTTCCTGCTCCTCCTCCCCCTCCTGCTCTTCATCCTCCTCATCCTCCTCCTCTCCCTCCTCCTTCTGCTGATCCTCCTCTTCCTCCTCTTCTCAGTTCCCCCCCCTCCCCCTCTTCTCATCCTCATCATCCTCCTCATCATCATCATCATCATCATCAACAACACATCATCATCATCCATCATCCTGTTTCTCCTCCTCCTCCTCCTGCTCTGCTGCCTCTGCTCCTGCTTCTCCTCCTCATCCTCCTCTTGCGCCTCCTCCTCCTCCTGCTCCTCCTCCTCCTCCTCCTGCTCTTGCTCCTGCTCTTTCTCCTCCTCCTCCTCCTCCTCCTCCTCGTCTCCTCCCCTCCTCCTGCTCCTCCTTCTCCTGCTCATTCTCTCTCCCTCCTCCTCTCTCCTCCTCCTCCTCCTCCTCCCTCCTCCTCCTCCTGCCAGCTCCTGCTCTCCTCCTCCTCCTCTTGCTCCTCCTTCTCCTCTCCTCCTTCCTCGTCCTCCTCCTCCTCCTCCTCCTCCTCCTCCTCCTCCTCCTCCTCCTCCTCCTCCTCCTCCTCCTCCTCCTCCTCCTCCTCCTCCTCCTCCTCATCCCCCCCTACCCGAGAGGCGCCAGCCAAGCCCACCGACGGGGCCGCCGCCGCCGCGCAGCGGAGCTCCCTCGGCAGCCCGCCTGCGATCCGGGGCGATTCGGTCGGCCAGCTCGGCGGCGGCGCCGAGGGGGGAACCCAGGCCTCCCAGACCCCCTCGCACTGCGAAAAAATCTTGACGGGAGGTTTTTCGCTATGCTCGGCCTCCAGGGGCCCTCGCCGGGCCCTCGGGACCGTCAAAAACCGACTCAGGATGAAAAACCGGTCCTTGGGAAAGGGTCCAGACTTCTGAGGGTCACGTCATGAAAAAATCACGACGTCGGGGGTCAGGCCTCAGAAGAGGAATAGGTATCAATACCGCTACCCCGCTACCCTCGCCCCGGTTCGGTTTCGCCTTTATGGATTTCTTGGGGGGCCTTCGTCGCCGCCGCCGGATTCGACTCGCGGTTTTGGTCAGAACGTACCCCGGGAAAAGTCCAGGGAGTAGCGGTATTCATACCTTTGGGTTTCCATGGGGTGAACCCCTCGCGTCGTGAAAAGATCATGACGGGGGGGGGGCGGCCATTTTCGGCCCTTGGCCTGCTGCAGGGGTCGTTGAAAAACTGCACAGGTTGAAGAACCGGCATGTGGAAAGGGTCTGATGGGCGCATTATCCACCACCAGCACCATAGGCAGGACGGGGGAGGAGAGGATGGGGAGTCCTCCTCCTCCTCCTCCTCCTCCTCGTCCTCCTCCTCCTCCTCGTCCTCCTCCTCCTCCTCCTCCTCCTCCTCCTTCTCCTCCTCCTCCTCCTCCTCCTCTTGCTGCGTCCTCCTCGCCCGTGCTGTTCATCATGGGGTCGCCGTAGGCACACGCGTGGCTGTGGGGGCCGCGCCTGGTGGAGTCGTGGGTCGGGTCCTCTGCCGGGGTTGCCCCGAGACAGCATCCGCCCCGCGCTGCCCTGGTGGTGCCAGGCAGGACTGCGGGGGTCCGCAGATGGTCGCGAGGCACTCGCCCAGCCTGTGAGCGCGGAAACCTCCTCCTCCTCCTCCTCCTCCCCCTCCTACCTATGGTAGTGGTGGTGGAAAGTTGGCCCATCAGGGTCGGGTCTTCCGTGGGCCCCGTCTGGAGGAACAAAAAAACAAAAACAAACAACGACACAAACAAATAATGAATAAATACATACAGTTTATGTCAAATTTTAATATATATATATATATATATATATAAAAAAAAAAAAAAAAAAAAAAAAAAAAAAAAAAAAAAAAAAAAAAAAAAAAAAAAAAAAAAAAAAAAAAAAAAAAAAAAAACGACGTCGCACTTCTGTGGGGGGGGGGAGGGGGGCAGGGCCCTCTCGGAGGGTGGCCGGGCCTCTCGGGAGCCCTCCGCGGACTTCTGAGAAGAGCCGCCCGCAGGTTCGGAGCAGGCTCGGGAGTCCCGGCCTCCCAGATGGGTTCGGAGCAGACGGTGTCGGAGGATCGCGCCGCATCGCCGATGCATCCGTCGGGGGCGGAAAAATAGGGGGGCGATGACTAGGGGGGGGATATCATGGCGGGGGCCATGATATTTCCCCAGATTTCATGGCGCCGCTTCTTGTTTCATTACGTCCCTGGCCCCCCCGCTGGGCCGCACACATGCCGCCGGTCATGATTTGCACCCCCCCCTCTTGGACACCCCCCTCTTGGCCGCTCCCGAGCAGACGGTGTCGGAGGATCGCGCCGCATCGCCGATGCATCCGCGATGCGGCTCGAGGTGTTTCCCCCACGCCGACATCGCCGATGCATCGCCCGCGTCGCCGATGCATCGCTGATACACCGGCGATGCATCGGCCATGCGGCGCGATCCTTCGACCCCCATCCACTCGGACCCCATCTGGGAGACCTCCGGGGAGAGCTTCTCAGAAGTCCTGGAGGCCCTTCGTCGGGCGGGGCGCGGCGGTGCGAGTTCGATTCGGCCTGGGACGATGCGCTGGCGGTCCGATCCGCTTCCGACCCCCAGAGGTCCGGCGTCTTGACTGCTTCAGTCCAGGGTCTGCTGCGAGGGCCCCCAGGGGCCGAAGACGACGAAGGCTGCCACGCTGAAGTTTTCGATGTGTGGGAGGTCTGGGCTCTCCAGGGGTGCGCTCTTACCAGAACTTCGCGAGGCGGGTCCAGCCGACGAGAGCGCCCCCACAGGCCACCTCACGCACACACCCCGCCAAGTGGCCACGGAAGCGAGCTCCCCTGGACAGCGCACGCTTGCATCGGGCAGACGGCTAGCAACGCATATTGTGGCCACTCGGGATCGACCACTGAAATTATCCAGGGTTAAGTCGGGCATGTCCCTCTACAGGAAGAATATCCAAAAAATAGTCCCAAAATAGTCTGGGGACGATTTCGTCGACGATGTTTGATGTTTAGTCGTAGACGCGAATACCCCTCGGCCCTTACACGCCCGCCAGGTTTTCAGCCTTGCTTCAGCTGCCGCGGTGGCTCAAGTCCGAGAGGCCCCCTGGCTCGGCCGGCCTGCATGAAAGGCGGGCCGCCCTCGCTGTGGGCCACGCTGGTGACCGCCTGGAGTGCGAGTCTGGGCGCTTGCTGGTTCTGGGGCTGGACTCAAGCCCCCTGGGCTCCTTTCGTGGTGCCGCCCTCCTTCTCCGGTTGCGGCGCGGAAGAGACCTGCCACTGTTCCTGCGACCAGGAGCTGCGGCGCACCATCGACTTCCAGGCGGCGCTGCGGTGCCTGTTGCTCGCAGGGTTGCTGGTGCTCGGCCTTGCGACGCCGACGGCGGGCGCCCTGGGCTTCTTCGCGGGAGCTTGCAGGCGCTGCCGGCGCGGCTCGCCTGAGCGCGCGGCTGGAGGAGGCTCACCTGGCACGACGGTAGATCGCACCGAGACGCCTCTGACGGCGGTGACGGCCGGCGTCGGTCCGCGTACCCCCAGCCGACGCCGTGGTTGACGTGCACACCCTGGACATTGCAGGTCCTCAGATCCTCGTGCGGAATGAGAACGGCCCGCGCGGCTTCGACTGGCACCATCGCGTGCTGCTCTTCAGGGCGAGCGAGGACATCTGGATCTGCCTCACCCCAGATCACGATCTGGTTCGGGTCAAGTTGCTGGACACACGCCATGAGGTGCTCGAGCGTCGAGCGCCCTTCCCCGCCCATCTGCATGGCGAACCATGTCTACGCCCACGACCCGATCGGAGGCGCGGCCCTGTCAGCTTTCCGCCGTCGAGCGAAGCTGCAGGGCCAGCTCTTGGGCGCCGGCCAGGTGGAGGCCATCGAGCGGATGATGTGGGTCGTGACCGAGCCGCGGTCCAACCGCTTCGGGAGGTCATCGACTCGGCGATCATGGACGACGACAACCGCGGCATGGGCTTCGACCAGAAGGGCGTGGCGGTGCTGGATGGCGAGGAGTTCTTCGTGCAGAAGATCGCGGCCAGCAGCCTGCCTGACTTCAAGCGCGAGGCTCGCGCGGACTTCGGCGACCTGCGCACCCTGGGAGCGCCTTCGGCTTTCGAAAGCGGTCGCGATGATGCGCGACGTAGAGCAGCCCAACTTCCCCCCGGCAGGCGCCAGGAGCGTGAAGGAGTTTTTGGACAGCGTGGCCTCGGGGCCAGGGAGCACGACGTCCTTCCGGGCCGAGTGGGGGCTCCTCAGTGGCGTTGGCGAGGGCTCGGCGGCGAACCGCGCGCATCGAAACCTGTGCGAGGTGCTTCGCTAGATGCACTCGTGGGATCAGGTCGACTTGTCGATGTTGACCTCCGCCGAGCTCCTGGTGCGCTGGACGAAACAGACGAAGATCGCTGTCGAGCGCAACCCGCGTCATCCCGACTACAGCGGCCTGGACATCGTGATCTCAGCTCCCGTCAATGCAGTTGTACGGGCGACGACGTCGAAGCCCAACACCTGGGTCACTGACCGCCTCAAGGATCTGGAAGCAGGAGCGCTTGCGCAGGGAGGAGCACGACGGGTTCGAGTCCAACCCGAAGCGTTGCCCCAAGAAGGCGAAGGGAGGAGCAGCCGGCGCTGGCGGCGGCGCCGGCGATGAGGGATGACACCTCTCGAGGCTGCGGGGGCGCCGGCGCCGGCAGCCCGGGCGCCGAGCGAGCCCCCCGCAGCCGACTCCCACGTGGGCTTGCCGCCTCCAGCGTCGGAGGCATCCGGCCACGCGATCAACGGCATGGCGATCTTTTCCCGCTGCCGCGCGACCCCGTCAGCCTAGGCATTGCACGCGATCCCGCGCAGCATCAGCAAGTTGTTGACACGGTTCGGGCCCTGAACCATTTTGCTGCCGCCAATTTGAATTCGCGCCGTGCTCAGGGGCATGGCCGACCACCTGAGCGCCACCTCCGGCCCACCGCTGCGCAGCGCTGGATGCTCCAGGACGCGGCGCGGCGGGCTGAGGCATATGGGGCGCGCCCGACTGACTTCACAGAGGAGTCGCCCCTCGCGGAGGTTCTCGATTCTAGAGACCACTATGGCATGGAGCCCAAGAACTTGGCCAGCTTCGACTTCCACAGGGTCAAGATCCTGCGCCGGCGAGATCACGTTCGGCCCGTTCGACGCGAGCCCCCCCCCCCGCAGCGCTGGGCTACCTCAGGCGCGCGGGAGACCTGATCGAGAAGGACGTAGCGGAGCTTGAGAAGGAACGAGCCGAGACAGGGACCCCGACCTTCGGAAGCGGCTGCGCCAGCGCTCGAGCCAGCAGGGCCTGTTGACCCGGCGCCCGCTGCAGAAGGGGCACGCGGGCATCTTCGCGGTCAAGAAGGATGGGCCCCAGAGACTCATCATGGACGCCCAGGCGGCGAACAGGGCACGCCGTCTTCCGCCTCCTATTCGTTCGGGGTCATCGCGCTGCATGGCGGACCTGGACCTCTCCGACCCCCGCTTGAGGGCCTCCGGCTTCGGCGGCCTGAGCTCGGGACCCCCGGCCAGCCCGACTGGGCTAAAGGGCGACGTCGGGGACTGCGTCTACAATTTTACGGTCCCCGAGCTGGCCTCCCGGTTCGGCTTCGAGGACCGCTTCGACGCGGAGGAGTTGGAGAGCACGGGCTGCCTGCCCGCGACCATCTGGGACGACGCCAAGGGCGTGGAGACCACGGTCGCAGACGGCGAACCGCTGCACCCCTGTGCACGGGCTGGTCCTGGGCGCTTTATTTCGCCACCGAGGCCGTCGCCCATCGGGTGGAGAAGACGCTCGACGACGGCCAGGACCATATCATGAAGGAGATGCAGCCCGCCCCCACCCTGAGGCCAGGCAAGTGCGCGGCTGGCGCGCACGTTGACAACGCGTAGGTGATCGGGGGCTGCCAGGCTGACGCCACCAAGCAGATGGGCAAGATCGAGAAAAGTTTTGACGGCGATGATTTACGTTTAACATCGAGTCGAACGATGGGGTTGAGATGCAGACGCTTGGTTGGGCGTGCCACTGGCGAGAGCGACGACTACGGCACGTCGCTCGGCGAGTCTGGCGGACCTACCCGGCGGGGCATGTCCTGCTGCGTCGACGCAAGTTGCACGGGCATTTTCTCCAGCGTTGGCTCGGGCACGTCGCGAACCTGAACCAGCTCTCCCCCGAGACCACGCCCGCCTCGAGCGCCTGCTACCGCTCCATTGATGAGGCGCTGGAGAAGCCGAAGCGGACGCGGCCGTCCGCGAAGTCGGAGATCCGTTGCGCGATGAACCTTCTCTTCTTGATGGAGGCCGACCTCAGCGCCAAGTACTCGGACCAGGTCTACTGCGGAGACTCCTCGACTCGCGGCTACGCCCTGCACGTGGCTGAGGGGGGCCAGAGGAGATCCGCGAGGCGCGGAGGTGGCGGGAGCGCTGGCGGTACCGGGACGTGCCGCTGATCGAGGGCCAGGCGTGCGAGGGGCTCGGCTACGTGCGGGCCGACGCGCCGGGCTTGGTCGCCGGGCCGCTGACCGCCTTCGGCAAGGCCCTGGCCAGGCGGAAGCGCGCGCCAGGCCGCGCCGCCAGGCCGTGCCGGACATGGCGACCCGGGGTAAAGTGACCCTTGGCTCAGGGGTCCCCGCGCTGGCTGACGGCTGGACTGATCGGCGCCGCCGCCATTTGGTGTCGGCCGAGCGCTGGCGCTGGCAGGACGAGCACATCGACCTGAAGGAGGCGCGCGCGGCCCTGACGGGGCTGCGGAGGCGCTGCCGATCCGTCAAGCTGCTGAGCTCGAAACTGCTGACGCTGAGCGACAGCCGAGTCACCGTGGGGGCCTTCGAGAAGGGCCGCTCTAGCGCTGGTCTACAGGCGCTGTGCAGACGGGGAGCGGCCTTCCGGCCTGCCTGGCAGGCAGATCTCGCGGCGCCTCCGCTACATCGAGACGGATCGGAACCCGAGTGACCTCGGCTCGCGTCGGCGGGGCGACAAACGGCCGAAGGTCACGCCGGCCTCAGCTCCAGCGGCGGCAGTTGCATGCCACGCCGGCCCCGCGGCTACCGAGGGGCCCGCCGGCGCACACACGGACTCTTTTCTCGAGGGCGAGCTGCCAGAGCCTCGACCCTCATCATCATCTTCGCTGCCGACATCTGCTCCACGTTTCTGCCGACCTACAATACAGAACGAGCCTGGCAATTCAGTTTGTTGTCTGGACTCTTCGGAGGCCAGGGGGTGCTGACACGAGCCTGCAAAGACGTGGGACTTCCTTTCGCTGCTTCAGCGGATATCAAACATAGATGCGAGTTTGACTTGTCTCGACATGCCACACAACAACAATACACATATATGTATATATAGGACTTGGCCCGCAGAGGCCGCCTACAGTATGTGCACATTGGGACGCCTTGCCAGGTCTGGAGTATCGCACGTAGGGGGTATCAAAAATCATGCACGAGCACGAGCTAGGAACGTTTTGGGATCGAGTTCGTTCTGTTTACGACAACGTTATGCCATGCATGTTCACGGCGTGGAGCGTATTGGAGCGTGGAGAACCCCAGGACATCGGAACTATGGAACTTCGACCCCCGTTGCTCGTCTTCGTGGGCTCCCGAACGCGACGGAGGTACACTTCGATTTGAGTATGCATGGAAAAGCCCATCGGAAGCCCATGAGCATGCATGGACAGACCTCGGGGCCCTGAGAGCCCTCGGAGACCGACCTCGCATTCCACGCAAGCACGCCATCATGTTACCTGGTCATCTGACACCTCTTGCTGGCGCCTATCCCTCCGCTCTGGTTTCGAGCTGGGCGGGCTTCCTGAAGGCCGCGCTCCCTTGGGCGGGCAGCCCGAGCGCTCCGGGGTTTGACCCGCGCGAGTTCCGCCATGGGCTCCTCCGAGCGGCCAGCCGCGAGCCGCAGGCTGGAGGATGGGCGCTACGCAACCAGGTCAGCGAGCGCCGCCCCTGTGACTTCCAGGCGGCTGACGCCATCCTCGACGGGAACCCCTTCGCCCAGTTCGGCCAGGACGACCGTCCGCGACGCTGGCTGGCCCACCAGGACTGGCAGACAGCGGCCGCCGGGGAGGGGCCGCCCGCGCCAGCCGTCATCGCCGCGCCGAGTCGCGCCCATCCGAGTCCCGAGGCGCGACTCGCTGGTCACGGCGACGGTCTCGAACGCGACCCTCCAGAGGTACGCGGCAGCCGTGCACGAGTTCGAGGTCTACGCCGAGTCGAAGAAGCTCGACCTGCAGCCGCTCAGCCGCCTGGACAACGCCCTGGCCCAATACTTCGCGGACGTATTCGACGACGACTTCGGGGTCTGGGGGGGGCCGCAACACGCTCTACGGCCACAGGCTCCTGCGGCTCAAGACGACGGGCAGGGTGGACTTGCCGAAGGCGCTGGCCTCGCTGAAGGGTTGGGCGAAACGCTCGCCAGGCCGCATGCGCCTTCCCTTGCCCGACATCATCGTCGACGACACAGCGGTGGACCTGATCGAGCACGACCGGCCGATGATGGCCGCCGCGGCGTCGCTGCAGACGGACACGTACACCCGACCCTCAGGGGTGGTCGAGCTCCGCCAGGGTCAGATCCTGCCGCCCGCGCCAGCCGCGAGGCTTGGCGCGCACTTTGGCATCGTCATCGCGCCTTCGGAGTGGTACAAGGTAACCAAGACGGGAGGTCAGGACAGCCTCCTGGTCGGCGACGCGGCTCGCCCCTGGCTGACAAACGTCCTGTGGATCCTTCGCCAGCCCAAGGCCGCCGACTCCCAAAGGCTCTTCACTTTCTCTTTGTCATTGCTTGATCGGGAGATCAAAAAGGCCGCCGACCGCCTGGGCTACTCGCCCCTAGGAGTGTGCCCGCACGTTTTTCGCCACCCTGGTGCCTCCAACGACAAAGCACACGGAAGACGGACCTTGAAGGAGGTCCAGAAGCGCGGCCGTTGGGCATCGTCTGCTTCGGTGGCCCGCTACGAGAAGAGCGCGGTCATCCTCCAGCAGCTGCGAAAAGTGACGCAGGAGAAGAAGACGCGCGCGGCCAGCAAGAGCAAACAGTTGCATCAGCTCCTGCTCGGCCGTCTTCGTAGCCTTCGAACCACCAGCACATGAGACGGGTAATCACAGGATCAGCTTCGTGTGATGGCATCGTTTTGCCACTGGCCAGAGCAGTACGTGCCTGGACAACTTTCGTCAGAGGTGGTTATGAGCCAACCAGGCCGTTCATATCCACCAGCTTCGCTGAGATATGCACGTGTGGGCGTGGTCCTTAGGCCGTCTAGGGGTGCCTTTGTTTGTTACGCACGTTCTAACTATGTTTCGTTGTTCCTCCTAAGTCCGCCTGTAGGAGGGCATGCCCGACCTAAATCTAGGCATGCGTTCTAGAGCTTCGAGGCGGGTCTAACCGTGCCGACGAGGGCGCTCCCGGAGGCTCAAAAAAGAGAGCGGAACAGCAGCATGCAGAAGCCTCGAATTCTGCAGGCGTTCAAACGAAACTGCGGCGTGCTCGAAGTTCGAAGCTTGGGCGTGCGATCCGAGCTCAGGCCTTGACCCCCTCGTGGGGGACCACCAGCTTTTTTCATCCCGAGTTAGTCTTGACGGTCTTGGGGCCCGGCGAGGGACTCTACTACCCCAAAAAGGTCCAGCATTGCCCCGTTGAGATTTTTGTCGCGACGCGAGGAGGGAGGGAGTGAGGGAAAGAAGTTTGGCAGGAGGGAGGGAGGCAGGAGGGAGGGAGGGAAACAAGAGCTCTGCAGAAGGGGCGTGCATTTCAGTTGTAGTACCAGGACGGGCCCAGCCGTGGCGACGAGAGGAGCGCCCCTGGAGTTCCACGAAGGGGGGGGGGGGGGTAAACACTCAAAATATCTTTGGACCTCTAAGTCCGAAGGATAACCCCCTCCCTCCTTCCCTGAGGGTGAAGTAAAACGGGGGGACTAGATCCCAGAGGGGGGACACCGACTTAGAATAAACGATGTATCGCCGGTGGATCGGCGACAGACCCCCGATAGCGAAACCAAACGCTCCTGGGCGGGGTGGGCTGTCAGGCTCCAGTCGGCGACGAAGGGGCGATTCGGGGTCGATGCAGTCCCCCACTGAGCGTGTCCCCGATCCTTGTCGTCTGGTTGTTGGTCCATAGCTCGGGCCTCCGGCGGCTGTTCGGGACGATCGGGGCACCCCCGGAAGGCCCTCGGCGAGGCGTGGTGTTGGAGAGCATCCCGAGGCCGGAAAATCTGGAAGGACTTACGAAACCATTCGAAAACCCAGAAAACTTGATGTTCCCCCTAACGTTGCCCCTCCAGGCAGGAGGAGGGGGGGGAGGAGGGAGCCTAAGCCCTGACCCTATCCCCAGTCCTCGTCGTCCCAACCTCGAGCTCGTCGTCGTCGTCGTCCTAGTCCTCTTATTCGTTCTCGTCGTCTGAGTCTCGAACCTCGAGGTTCGCTATCCCGAGCTGAGGCCCGCCAGAGCCGCCGCCCGGTGGCCGCGGGCCCGGGCCGCGGCGGGCGGCCTGGCCTCGTTGGCGCTGGTGCTCGCGGCGGCGCACTGGTGGTCGCCGTCGCGAATGTAAATCCTTCCCCCGACGACGACGGCGGCGGCGACGACGACGACGACGACGACGACGACGACGACGACGTCGCCTCCCTGTCGCAGGCCTTGCCTCCCCCTTCCTCCTCCTCCTCCCCTCCTCCTCCTCCTCCTCCTCCTCCTCCTCCTCCTCCTCCTCCTCCTCCTCCTCCTACTCCTCCTCCTCATCCTCCTATCTCCTCCTCTCCTCCTCCTCCTCCTCCTCCTCCTCCTCCTCCTCCCCTCCTCCTCCCTCCTCCTCCATTTCCTCCTCCTTCTCCTCCTCCTCGTCCTTCTCCTCCTCCTCCTCCCGCAGTGTGGAAAAATGTTCGCCGGGACTTATGAAGAGGGGTCCTGGAGGGAGGGGGTCCTTCTCCTCCCTCCTCTTCCTCCCCTGCCACTCTCCTCCCTCCTCATTCCCCTCTCTCCCCCCCTTCATTTCCTCCCCCGCCCCGCCGGCCCACAGGTCCCCGCTGGGGCCACCCCCGCCGTCGCCAGGGCCGGCGGGCCCCCGTCCGCAGGGCCCGCGGCCGCCGAGGCCGACCCCGCAGCCGCCACCGCCGCAGGACCCGGGGCTCGGGTTCACCTCTTCCTCCTCCCAGATCCCCGAAGATGGCTCCGATGTGTTCCATCCCGGCGCTTGTTTCCTCCGCTCGGGCCTCGGGGGGGGCGTGGTCGGGGCTCGGGACCATCAACAAGTGGATCCGGGACGCAAGGCTACCCCTGGGGCACGGGTCGGGAGTTCTGGGGCCGCGGATCGAAGAAATCCGATCCGAGGATGTCTGGGTCCCTATTGTTTCTTCCTCCTCCTCCTCCTCCTCCTCCTCCTCCTCCTCCTCCTCCTCCTCCCCCTCCTCCACATACATTCCTTCTCCTTATAGATAACTCCTCCCTGTCACACCCCAAGGCCAGCTTTTAGGGCGGGCCGAGCGTTTCGCGCCTGAGACTTCCTCACCAATTATGGCTCTGAAGCTTAAAAGTGACAACAGATTCACAGATGGAAGGCGGGTCGTTTTCAAAATGTAGTTCTCGCTTTAGCGCCGTGCACATTCGTTTTTTAACGTTGCAAGAATCTCACGGATTGAAGGTGGGTCGTTTTCAAAATGTGGTTCTCGTTTTAGCGCCGCGCACATTCGTCTTCAACATTCGCAAGAGCTTCCCGGATTGAGGGCGGGTGGTTTTCAGAATGTGGTTCTCGCTTCAGCGCCGCGCACATTTGTTTTTAAATAATTTGCAAGAGTTTCACGGATTCAGGGCGGTTCCTTTTTCAAAATGTGTTTCGCCTTAGCGCCGCGCACATTCGTTTTGAAATTTGCAAAAGTTTCACGGATTCAGGGCGGCTCCTTTTCAAAATGTGGTTCTCGCCTCAGCGCCGCGCACATTCGTTTCAAAAAATTGCAAGCGTTTCACGGATTGAGGGCGGGTGGTTTTCAAAACGTGGCTCTCGCCTCAGCGCCGCGCTCATTCTACCTTTTTTTTTAACGCAAGAGTTTCACGGATTCAGGGCGGTTTTTTTTCAATATGTGATTCGACTTAGCGCCGCGCACATTCGTTTTAGAATTCGCAAGAGTTTCACAGATTCAGGGCGGTTCCTTTTCAAATTGTGGTTCTGCGCCGCGCACATTCGTTTCAAAAAATTGTTTCACAGATTCCCATGATCAACGTACCAGAAATTGCGTTTTGAAAGGATTGAGGTTTACGCGGGTGCAACACCTATGTTGCTTCGCGGTGTTGAAGTCTCCAAAAATGGCGCTCTGGGACGGTTCCAGATCGTCAAGACGCAGCAGTCAGGTTGATACGTAGCATTAAAAGCCCGAGGACAATGTTTTGGCATGCTTCAGGATCTTCAAATGGTTGTCTTCCAACGAGGCAGTTCGTTCAATGGAAATGAACCGTTGTGGGGCCTATGATGAGGGAGCTTGGAGGGAGGGTTAATTCCAACATCGTTGATGACTCTTGGCTTTACACTGGTCCTCCTCCTCCTCCTCCTCCGCCTCCTCCTCCTCCCCCTCCTCCACAACTCCCCCTCCTCCCGTCCTGCGCCTTCTGATCTCCTCCCCCCCCCTGATCGAGGGAGAACCACCGCCGCCCTCCTGGGAATGCCCATGTGGCCAAGCAGTGGGCCAGAATCTGGCCAAGCTGTTGGACTACGTGCTTCCCCCCGCCGTTGAGGGAACCTCTGGGGGAAGGAGAGAGGGGAGCAGTAGGAGGAGGAGGAAGAGGAGGAGGAAGAGGAGGAAAAGGAGGAGGGGGGGAGAGGGAGGAGAAGGAGGAGGAGGAGGAGGAGGAGGAGGAGGAGGAGGGGGAAGGGGAGGAGCAAGAAGAAGCCTCCTGGGGGCCTCTTGCACAAGAGGCCTCGTGGGGCCAGTTCGGGTTCACCCTCTGGGGTCTATAGCCTGCTGCTTGCTCAATGATGTTCGACCTCGGGTTAAGTCGGGCAAGTCCCTCCACAGAAGGACTATTCAAAGATAGTCAAAAAATAGTCTGGGGACGATGTTTTGATTATGTTTGACCATATTGGGGGTCTTGTTTGACAGTTATGCTTCGTCCAAAACCCGTCTTTAGGAGGACATGCCCGACCTAAACCTCGGGGACAATCATACGGAACACCCCGAGAGTCCTGGGGTTTTCCTTGAACTCGTGGGTTCGGTCCTTGCTGCGGAACACCTACAATCTTCAATACAGCACCTCGAGGGCGCCCAGAAATTCCCAGAATTCGTGGGTCTGGCCCCCATCCAGAAACACTTGTAGTATTCAACAGGGGGAAGTCGGAAGGACCTTAGGACGCTCGACTCAGTGCCCCGCGGCACGGCGGCGGACAAATAACTCGTCCTGCTCACACCACCCGACGCGTCGGTAGGGCGGTCTGGGCGTTTCGTCTGAGACATCCTCACAATGAGCTCCCTCGAAGATTGTTCGAAATCCGGCAGCAACGCAGATGGAAAGTGGTTTTACTTATGCGCACATTCGTTTGAAATATTCCCAACGGTCGCAAGGATAAAGGCCGACTCTTTTCAACATATGCTCACCCTAGCGTGGCGAAACTTTGTTGCCAAAATACGTTAACAGTCACAAGGATGACGGGCGATGTAAGTTCACAGTGCGTTCTCGCTTGAGCGCCGCGCACATTCGCTTCAAAGCTCGCAGCAGCCACAAGTATGCAGGGCGGGTCGTCTTCGAAATGCGGCACTCTCTTTAGCGCTGCGCGCAGCTTATTCAGTCGCAACAGTCAACAGGTTGGCTGGCGGATCCTTTTTTCAAGAAGGGGATATCGTTTGAGATGCCCTTCAATGTAGGACCCGATCTGTGACATTGCGCGTTTGCTGCGTAACCCTGCAACAGTTACACGTATGGAGGGTGCCCGAGCTTTCGAACGGGGCTATTGCCGACTGTTTCTTCTACGTTCCTGGCTCTGCTTGATCGCGCTGATCAGTGCTTGTTCAAAACGGAGTTCACGCAATGAATGGCATGCCGGCAGGCCAATGGGGCGCTCGCAGTTCAAGTGGGAGCTTCCCACAGCGAGAAGGATTGCCTGCAAGAGTGCCTGCAGGGAGTGACGGCATCGCTGGTGCCCCTTGAGCTTCACTTTTCTAGTCCTACGCATCCCCCTCCTCATCCTGCATCCTCCCCTCGTGCCCCTTCACTTCCTCCTCCTCCTCCTCCTCCTCCTCCTCCTCCTCCTCCTCCTCCTCCGTCCTCCTCCTCCTCCGTCCTCCTGCCCCTCCTCCTCCTCCTCCTCCTCCTCCTCCTTCTCCTCCTCCTCCTCCTCCGTCCTCCTGCCCCTCCTCCTCCTTCTCCTGGTCCTGTCTCCATCCTCCTGAGCCGGTTGTCCCACCCTCCTCTGTCTTGTTTCTCCCCCCTTCCTCCCCTTATCTCCTACCTCCTCCCCTTTCTCCTACCTCCTCCTCCTCCTCCTTCTCCTCCTCCACCGCCCCCCCCCCTCGCCCTCCTCATCCTCCTCCTCATCCTCCTCCGTCCTCCTCCTTCTCATCGTCGTCATCAGCATCCTCAGCATCAGCATCCTCAGCATCAGCAGCATCATCATCAGCAGCATCAGCATCAGCATCATCAACATCAGCATAAGCATCAGCATCATCAGCAGCAGCATCGCCAGCATCATCACCACCACCACCATCACCATACACATCACCATACATATCACCATCACCACCGTCACCATCATCATCAGAAGTAGTATGACAATAAGCATCAGCAGCATCAGTATTAGCATCACTAGCAGCCTGAGCATTAGCATCGTCCTCGCCATCAGTAACATCACCATCAGCAGCAGCAGCAACAGCATCATCATCGTCATTGTTGTCAGCATCAGCAGCATCATCACCACCATCAGCCTTACCATTACCAACACCATCGTCATCAGCAGCATCATCAGCCGCATCATCATCGCCATCGTCATACTAAGTAGCATCATCACCATCGCCGTCACCATCATCATCAGCAGCAGCATCAGCATCATCATAATCATCTTCAGTATCAGCGTCATCATCAGCATCAGCAGCCTCATCAGCATCAGCATCATCATAATCATCAGCAGCATCATCATCCCTCCCCCTCCTCCCTCCCCCTCCTCCCTCTCCCTCCCTCCCTCCGCCCCTCCATCCCCCTCGACAGGAGGACCCGAGACTCTTGCGCGCCAGGGCGGAGCTGGACAAGGCGCGGGGCGCGGCCAGGCAGCTGGAGAGCAAGGCCTGGCGGGCCCGCCTGCCCGGAGCTGGCCCATCAGAGAAGGAGGAGGGAGGGATGGAAGCAAGGATCAAGGTGGAGGAGGAGGAGGAGGGAGGAAGGAATTGAAGGGAGGCAGGAAGAAGGAGGGAGGAGGAGGAGGAGCAGGAGCAGGAGCAGGAGGAGCAGGAGGAGCAAGAGGACGAGGAGCAGGAGAAAAGGAGGAGGATGAGGAGCGGGAGCAGGCGCAGCAGGAAGAGAAGCAGGAGCCGGACCAGGAGGGAGAGGAGGAGAAGAGAAGGATGAGGGGGAGGGGGGGAAAGGGAGAGGGAGGAGAGGCAGGAAGAGGATTCGCCTGCCTACTCCCCTCAACCGTGTGCATGCCAGCTGGCACGACGATAAAGAGCCCACGCTTCCCCCAGGCCTTTCCTGGGCGTCACGTGGCAGCCTCATGAACTCACTTTAGCCCTGAAGGGCATGCCGAAACTGTAGCTGAGAGCATGTGGCTCCAGCTATCTCTCCCACATTTCGCCTACGAGCGCAACCTGGCATTGTAGCTGAAGGTGTGTCGCTCCTGCTTTGCTCGAGCTGATCCCTGCCCTGTAGCTCAAGACTGCTATCCGCCCTTCTCGCACTCCCTGATTTCGGCGCTGCATCTGGTATCGGGCTCTAGCTGTGCCTTCCGCCTCTCGCTGAGCACGACAGAGGTTGCTACCCTCCGAGCGTTGTAGCTGACTCTGGCTGCGGCGTTGCCTCCGCTGTCCCGCTGAGTTGCAACAGAGACTGTTGCCACGTTTCTCCTCTCGCACACGCCGCTCACAGCATTGGTCCCAACCATCCTGTGGTGTCGGGTCCTCGTTTTGAAGAGACAGCGCCCCGCGTCTCCTCTCCTCTTCTCCTCTCCTCCTCCTCCCCCCCATCCTCCCCCTCCTCCCTCCTCCCATCCGCCTCGTCACCTCCCTGTGTTTCACCCACCCAAGACAGCGCTTCGTGGCCCCATAGGAAGCTCCACCTAAGACCCCAGTGGCAGGGTTCGCATGCGTCCCCCCGCCCATTTTGGCACACCCCTCACGCGCCCCATAGCCCCATAGGGAGCTCCACCGAAGGCCCCAGCGGCAGGGTTCGCATGCGTCCCCCCGCCCATTTCGGAACATTTCTCACACGGTTCGTGGCCCCATAGGAAAGTCCACCGAAGGCCCCGATGGCAGGGTTCGTATGCGTCCCCCCGACCGTTTCGGCACACCCCTCACACGCTTCGTGGCCCCCCATAGGGAGCTCCACCGAACGGCCCCAGTGGCAGGGTTCGCATGCGTCCCCCCGCCAACTTCGGCACACCCCTCACACGGTTCGTGGCCCCATAAGGAATTCCACCGAAGGCCCCGATGGCAGGGTTCGCATGCGTCCCCCCCCCCCGCCCAGTTTGGCACACCCCTCACGCACTCCGTGGCCCCATAGGGAGCTCCACCGAACGGCCCCAGTGGCAGGGTTCGCATGCGTCCCCCCGCCAATTTCGGCACACCCCTCACACGCTTCGTGGCACCATAGTGGGGAGCTCCACCGAACGGCCCCAGTGGCAGGGTTCGCATGCGTTCCCCCGCCCTTTTCGGCACACCCCTCACACGGTTCGTGGCTCCATAGGGGGCTCCACCGAAGGCCCCGATGGCAGGGTTCGCATGCGTCCCCCCGCCCGTTTCGGCACCCCTCACACGCTTCGTGGCCCCCCATAGGCAGCTTCACCACCGAACGGCCCCAGCGGCAGGGTTCGCATGCGTCCCCCCGCCTATTTCGGCACACCCCATACACGTCTCGTGGCCCCATAGGGAGCTCCACAGAAGGCCCAATTCGGCACACCACTCACACGGTTCGTGGCCCCATAAGTAGCTCCACCGAAAGCGGCACCCACAATGCGGTATTCGCATCTGCATTTGGTTGGGTCCTTCGTCAGGCTAAGTTTGTGAGATATTTGGTTCCAGCTTCGTCCCGCGCCTTTCTCACACGTATTGATGTCAGCGCTGTAGCTGATATCGGGCTCTAGCTTCGCCTTCCACAGTGTAGCTGCTGAACTCGGGCTCGAACTGCACATTCCTCATACCGATCAGGTGCGACAGAGCCGGCTGCCAACCCCTGCTACCATGCCTACCTTCTCGTGCTGCCAACACGAGTTGTTTGCCTGTCTTCTCGCACGAGTTGATCCAAGCAGCACTGTGGTTGATGTTGGTTGGCTCCCTCTCCCTTGCTGCGGACAGCCTCGGGCTTGAGCTGCACGTCCAGCTTCTCGCAGAGTGGTGCCACTGCGCCCCTCTCGCACGCGCTGCCCGCCGAACTTACTCCTGCCATGAGGGAGCATGACGGTCGAAAAAACAGCAGGGGCTCCAGCGGCTTCTCGCGCGCCCTGATCCCAACCTTGTAGCTGATGACATCGGGCTCTATCTTCGCCTGCCATCTCGCTGAGTAGCGAGCGCGTTTGCTGCCGCTGCTCGGCCTTCTCACACGCACGGACTGGACCCAGCTCTGTAGCTGATGACGTTGGCCCACGCGGTCCCGCCTTTCTCACACGGTCGGCCCCCAGCGCTGTAGCTGACGATGTCGGCCCACGCGTCGCTTCTTGCATTGGCAACGCCTGTTGCCACTGCTTGCCCTGCTCGCATTAACAGCGCGTGCTGCCGCTGCCGATGGTTGCGCACGAGCTGGCTCCACCGGTGTAGCTGATGGTGTTTGGCTCCTGCACTTGCGCCCCCGCGATGACAGAGGTTGCTGTCATTGCTCGTCCTTCTCGCGCTGGCAATAGCGGCTGCCATTGCGCCATTGCTTTGCTTCCTCGCACGAGCCGATCCCAGCGTTGTAGCTGACAGCACTGCTTTCCTCCCTAGGCTTGCGCCCTACACTGCTGCAGCGGCCCAGCGTCGGTGGTCGCCGCTGCTCGCCAGGGGGCGGAGGTTGGGGAGGAAGAAGAGAGGGAGAGAGAGAGAGAGAAAACAAAAAAAGGGGACAGGGGATGGCACAGCTCCTGGCGGCCTCGTCCGCGCCTGATCTCAGCGTTGTAGCTGATGATGCTGGGCGCGGCAATTCTTCATGGTGGCCCTCGAGCGCGAGGCCATTCCGACGTCGGCGCTCGAAGTGCCCGCGCGCGCCCCGTGCAGGGTGAGGCGTTGGGACGCGAAATAGCTGGCAGGAGGAGAGGGGAGGGAAGGGAGGAGGAGGGGGAGGAGGAGGAGGAGGAGGAGGAGGAGGAGGAGGAGGAGGAGGAGGGGGGAGGAGGAGGAGGAGGAGGAGGAGGAGGACGAGGACGAGGAGGAGGAGGAGGAGGGAGGAGGAGGAGGAGGAGGAGGAGAGGAGGAGGAGGAGGAGGAGGAGGAGGAGGAGGAGGAGGAGGAGGAGGACGACGACGACGACGACGGGAGAGAGGAGCAGGAAGAGGAGCAGGGCTTGGCATCTTTCGGACGCGTGCGCTCTTCTCGGCGAGACCAGCGCCAGCAAACCTAGACCACCTCGGACGCTTCCTGGTCTGCGACAACGCGAGTGTCGCCAGTGGCTGAACTGCCCTTGCTGCTGCTGTGCCGAGCCTCGAACTCATTGGTGCTGGGAGATTCATTGCGATGGCGCGTCCGACACGTGTCACGCGCGCCGCGTTGGCCTCGCGTGCGCACCGCCGGGTCAATTTGTTCGAGAGCGCCAACCGGATCCTGTTCCGCGCCCTCCTCCTCTTTGCGCTCGCCTTCTTGACTGGCCAGGCGGGTATTGAGGAAGTCACCGACTTTACTGAGGAAGCAGGCGACAATGGACCATACGGCATGGCCGCGGCAGGCGATCTGGCTGCTCCCGATGCCGTGACGCTGACGATCACCGCGGATTGGTTGGCTCTGGCGCGCAAGGATCATGTCCGCTTGCCCACCAAGGTCGCGGCCACGCTCGCGATTGACAATCTTTCCTTCCTCAACCTCGCCATGTCCAATAGGCCGATGATTAAATGGTATATCCTCTGCTTATTCACCATCTTTCGGTGCAAACTCTTCATTGCCACGAAGAGGGACTCGGCGGCGGCTGGAGTTGCAATGGGGAAAAAAAAAGGTTTCCGCCAAGGTCACCGACGGCTGCAACATCTCGACGGACGATGTGAAGATGCACGTTGTCGATGAGGCAACCATGAGTGGAGCTTTCGACAAGATCAAAGACGTGGCGAAGAAGATCGCTGTTTTTTTTTCGAAGAAGGATTCGGTTGAGGCTTTCTTTACTGTTGCCAGCATCAGGTACGGCATGGCTCTGCTGTTCAGTCTGCAAATCAATTACTACTTGACGAACCACCACGTGGGTCAGGGTGAGTTCATCGGAGTCGGCAGCAGCATGTGGAACCACATTTGCCAGGCCGAGGCCTCGGGCACGATCAATTCGACGCACGAGGCCTACAGCAACGCGTGGAAGCTTGGCCATATGTTTTCCACGGCAGCTTCTGTGGCCTATATGTTTGCGCATATTACTAAGGCGCAGCGTGCGAGCATCGTGGGGGGCGTCGACCCAAGCGATCTCTGCGACTGGGACGCAGTTGTCATTTGGTTTGGCACGAAGTTGGATCAGTTTTGGAAACTTGCTCACGACTTGGTCGTGAGGATGTGCCAGCCTCCTGCTGGGACGCGCCGCATCACGAACCTGATTGTGATCGGGCGCAAGATGGCTGCCTCGGCCTATGGCCTTGTCGTCCCCTTTGAGATCGTGGACGTCTTCACTCAGGCGCTCAACTACCCCCGCGAGGTCGTCTGCCGTCCGTGGGCGTACCACATCGGTCGCGGCTACCCTCTTTCCGGCGGCGTCCCGGGCGATCTGGCCGATCCTCCTGCGATGGATGAAGACATTGTGCAGTGGTTCGTTCAGTTTGTCTTCGTCGCCGGACATTCTTCGTCGGGGGCGAAGCGCGGCACTCTCATCGATATGCGCGCTTTGCCGAAGCCGGACGATGCGCGCGCGAGCAGAGCTGAATTTACCAATCTTAAGAACTCGATGCAGAAGATTGGAGGCTCGAAGCACGTGGCGGCCGCCATCGGGGCTGGGGAGACGACTGTCCAGATCGGCTGGACCAAGGTCAGCGGCCTCACCACGTTCGGCAAGAGCGAGGCGGGCGTGCGCGCGATCGCCGACCGTGCCAAGTCGTTCGCCGCGGCCGCGCGTGGTGACTCTGTCCCGAGCGGCGCCACGGGCAGCTCTGGGTCTGGCGCGGCTGCCGCGGCTGAGCCCGCTGACGACGTCAAAGAGGGCGGTCTCGGCGAGTTCCTGGAAGGCAAGGAGTTGCGTTCCCCGATGAAGGGCGCCCCCGCGTGAACGGCTCGCGCCGTCGCACTGGACCAGAGCCAGGCTACAGCTCGCGCTAGAGCGATCGTTCGCGAGATCGCTTTGAGCACTGTCTTCTCTTAGGCCGCCTGCCGAGTCGGCGCGTGCGCAATTTTCGCCCGCGACCTCGATCGCTCGAGCTTCGCTCGGGTAGGCAGAGAGCGTCTCGTCTGGGCTTCTGCCCCTGTCGTGGGCCTCGCCCTCATCTTGATGGACAGCCGAGTCGGCGCGTACGCAGTTTTCGCCGGCGACCTCGATCGCCTGAGTTTCATTTCGGTAGGCTGCTTCGCCCACATCCTTGTCAACGGCATGAGTATACAAAACAAAAAAAAAACTAGACCACCTCGGAGCATCGTCGACCACCTCGGAGAGAAAAGCACGCGCGAATCCAAACAGCGCACAGGGAATGGACGTCCGAACGACGGCAAGAAGAGGCGGAGGAGGCGGAGGATGACGAGAAGGAGGAGGAGGAGGAGGAGGAGGATCAGAGTGAACCAAAGATGCATCAACGATAATGCAATACAACCTCCCGTCCCACCCTGCGAACTTGTCATAGCATTCCCGGTGCCAGTGATCGCCCAGACAGGGGGGGTCTGAATTGTTTCCGGAGCTGACTTCTCGCTCCACACGCATTGAGGTTATTCACTTTTGGGTTTCAACACATATTGCGCCAATCAACTGTTCGTGCCCCTCGCGCCGGCAGCTTTGCTGTAAACTCCATGTGGGCACGACCTCCGAAAACGCTCGCCCTCTTCCAGCCAGGGGGGAGCGAGAGGGAGAGAGAGAGGCAGGGAGACAACAAAAAACGAGATAGGCAGAGAGAATGAGAGAGAGATATGCGTTTGTGTGTCATGAATAGAGATGAGGAAAGAAGGGAGAAAGAGAGAGAGAGAGAGACAGACAGACAGACAGACAGACAGACAGACAGACAGACAGACAGACAGACGGACATAATAGAGCGAGAGGAAGACAGAGAGGGAGAGAAAGAGAGAGAGAGAGAGAGAAACATTTGAGAGAGAAAAGGAAAGAGAGAGAGAGAGACATAATCAAAAATGCCAAAACAACTCTCAGGCCAAGTCCGCGCAGGAGATCTCGCGCAGGGACAGCGCGGAGCTGGCCAGGGCGCGGGCGCAGCTGCACAACGCGACGGCCCAGGCCCGCCGCGCCGATCGGCCCTGCGGCGGGGTCGCGCCGCCAGAGCGAGCCGGCACCCCCCTCCATCGAGGAAGAGGAGGAGGAGGAGGAGGAGGAGGAGGGGGAGGAGGAGGAGGAGAAGAGAAGAGAAGAGAAGAGAAGAGAAGAGAAGCGAAGAGAGAGAGAAGAGAAGAGAAGAGAAGAGAAGAGAAGAGAAGATAATATAAGAGAAAATAAGAGAAGAGAAGGAGGAGGAGGAGGAGGAGGAGGAGGAGGAGGAAGAGGAGGAGAAGGAGGTGGGAGAGGAGGAGGAGGACCAGCGCAAACCCAAGACCCATCAGCAATGCTGGAAAGCACCCCCCCTCCAAGCTGGAGGATCGGCCACAGGCACGGAGGGGTATAGACCTGGGAGGAGCGGGCGAGAGGGGCCCAGCGGCATGACTGCGCTGGAGCGATATCCAACGAAGACGACACCGGTGGGGGGGGGGGGGGGGGCGATAAGCGGGAGCACCCCCCCTCCTCCGCACTCGAAAGGGGAGGTGGCGGAAGGAGGTGCACTCCAACCCCTTGTTTCCCGTGCCGGAGTGAGACTGGAGGGGGGGAGGGAAGGGGGGAGAAACTCCTTGGCATAGGCCCACACACATACACACACAGATACCAAAAGGGGAGGGGCGCCAGGGGGAGCCCCCCCCTTCTTTATATTCTCACCCCGGCGTGGGAAAAGGGGAGGCGGCAGGGTGTGCTTCGCCCCCCCGTCACAGTTGAGAGTCGAACCCAGGAATCGCTTGCAAACTCGGTATCGCTTGGGTCGAATCTCGGTCGGCGCGCATCCGCGAAACCTGGAATTCGCATGAGAGATCCAGAGCTCCTGGCGGCCGCGAAACCCAGAATTCAACAACCCGGATTCCGGACTCAGAGAGACGAGCGAGGATCTCCTCCCGAGGTGCGGAGGACGAGGACGGAGGAGGAGGAGGAGGGAAGAGGTGGAGGACAATGAAAAGGTGCAGGAGGGGGATCAGGTGGAAACGGATGACGATCAAGGAGGAAGGGAGGAGGGAGGAAAGGGGTGATTCAGAGCGTGAATTACCTACCCCGCTTTCGCTTCCAGGCAAAACCAAGCCATACCACGCGCCTCCTCGTCAAGCGGCCTGACCAGTACAGGCTGCAATTTGGCATCGTTTGGTATCTCTTGGAAGCGAGGGTGGTCTCAAGAGCGAGGGAGGTTTGTTTTCCCCCTAAGGAAGGGAGGAGGGAGGACAGGGGTGATGCACGCCCTCGTGCTTTACTCGATCCGCGCAGGCTTGGCCCGGGGCTGAAACATCGGAGCGTGCCAGGCAGGGGGGAAGAGGAGAGCACTCCGAGCCCTGGGGGGGGGGGGGGGCTCCCCCGCCTCCTCCTTCTCCCCCTCCTCCTCCTCCTCCTCTCCTCCTCCTCCTCCTCCTCCTCCTCCTCTCCTCCCCTCCTCCTCCTACTCCTCCTACTAGGGGGAGGAGGAGGAGGAGGAGGAGGAGGAGGAGGAGGAGGAGGAGGAGGAGGAGGAGGAGGAGGAGGAGGAGAGAGAGAGGAGAGAGAGAGAGAGAGAGAGAGAGAGAGAGACTGGAGTGCGGGGAGGAGGGGGGAGGAGGGGGTGCTCCCCCTCTCCCCGCGCGGACGGGGGAAGAGAAAAGACATCCGAGTCCTCGCAGGGTGTGAGGGGGGCTCCCCAATCCGGCGCGCGAGAGGGGAGCGGAGAGGGACTGGCGTGGCGGGAGGATGCAGGGGGGGGGGGGGGCTTGTCTCTCCCCGCGCGGAAGGGGAAAGGCAAGCGAATCCGAGTCCCGGGTGTTGAGGGGGGGGGGGGGCTCCCCCGCCTGGTGCGCGAGAGGGTAAGAGAGAGAGAGAGGGAGGGAGGGAGGGAGAGAGAGAGAGAGAGAGAGAGATTGGAGTGCCGGGGTGAGGGGAGGGGATGGGGTGCTCCCCCTCTCCCCGCGCGGAAGGGGGGGAAAGCGCAGCGAAAAGACCCAGCCCCGGGAAGGGGGGGGGGGGGGCGCTCGCCCTCCAGCGCGCGAGAGTGGGCGCGAGAGGCAGCGTGTTCTCCCTCTCTCCCCGCGCGGAAGGGGGGAGAGAAGAAGAAAATCCGAGTCCTGGGGGGGGGGCTCCAATAGGCTTCCCAGAGAGCTCCGAGAGTGCGGGCCGAAAAGAGTTCGAAGAGAGCCCGAAGACGGACCAAGCCCCCCGAGACGGCCCAAGAGGGCCCCAGAACGGCCCCAGAGGGCCAAAGACATCCGAACGAGCCCCCAGGGGGCCCCCCCGCAAGGCCCAATGACGGACGCAGATTTGACGCCAAGGCTCCCGAGAGCACCGGGTGACCGGAAAGCCTTGTTCACACGAGCTTGTGCGGTGAACAGCTTTGAGCGTCAAGGGTCCCAAGAGCGGGCAGTGGGACAGACACATCTGAACGCCAAGGCTCCCAAGAGCGAACGGTGACGCAAACTGATCTTAACCCCGAGGCTCCAAAGAGCGAGCGATTACATCAACAGCTCTTCACTCCTGGGCTCCCAAGAGTGAGCGGTGACGTACTGAACTCTTCAGACCAAGACTCCTGAGAGCGAACGGTGACGTGAAAGCTCTTAAAGCCAAGACTCCCAAGAGCGAACAATGACGTGAAACAGCTTTTCACAACAAGGCCTCCAAGAGCGAACTGTGACGTGAAATAAGATCTGAATGCCAAAGCTCCCAAGAGGGAACGGTGCCATGAGCCTTCTCGGGCGAGTTCCTGAAGCGCTCTTTCCGTTCCCGTGGTGGCCCAGGTTCTCATACGCCCGTCCCGTGCAGGCACGATGGTGAGTTGTGGCGCCCACCTGTTCGGGAGCCCAACACTCGCTCTCAACTGACACACGGCGGTTCAGGCTCGTTCCGCGACTACGTCACCGCTTACGGTCGGGAACTTCTGGGCAGCGTGCCGCGCCGCCGGTTCTGGCCCACCACACCTCGGTGCGACACGCTGTCCACCTCGCGGCCCCCGGGCGTCCGAGCCCCGAGCCTCGCCAAGCCCCCCGCCCCACGGAGCGCAGCCAGACGCTATCCGCTCGCAGGGCCCGGCGTGCCGCCACGGCCGCGGGGGGCGGGACGCTGTGCAGAGGGTCCTGCCTGCATGGCCCCGCAGCCTGCCTCGGCCACGCGCAACCGAGGGGCAGGAGGGGGGAAGGCCTCTTAGATCGGGGGCGGCCAAGAGGGGGGTGATGACTAAGGTTAAGTCGGGCGTGTCCCCCTACAGGGGGGTTTTCGACGGAAAATAATAACTAGTCCAAAAATATTCCAAAATGGTTGAAAAATGCTCAAAAAATAATCCCCCGACTATCTTTTTACTATTTTTGCATATTGCCCCTGGTGGGGGGGGGCAGGCCCGACTTAGACTAGGGGGGGGGGGATATCATGGCGTGGGCCATGATACTTCCCCAGGTTTTATGGCGCCTCTTCTTATCTCATTACATGCGTCCCTGCCCCCCGCCTCCCCCCCCGCTGGGCCGCGCACGTGCCGCCGGTCAGATGATTTGTGCCCCTCCCCCTTGTGGACGCCCCCCTCTTGGCCGCTCCCGATTAGAATTAAGTCGGGCCCGTCCCTCTACAGGGGGAATATTCAAAAATAGTCCCCGAAAATAGTCTGGGGGCTATTTTTTTTTTTTTTGTATTTTTTGACCATTTGGGATCATTTTTTGCGTATGTTTTGTTTTTCGTCGCAAATCCCCTTGTAGGGGGACTCGCCCGACTTAAGATTAGAAGGAGACTGCTTCTCAGAAGGCGCGGGCCTGATCGATAGATGCAAGGCCAGCGCCTCCCAAGAAGCAGCCTCTCAAGAAGCCTTCCCCCCTCGCCCTGCCCCCCTGTGCGCGCCGCGGGATGCCACCAATCCAACAGACCACCAGACCACCAGCAGGCCACCAGATCTCCGGACGGGGCTAGGACGAGGATCAATCCGTCGCAGAGCGTTCCGGAACGCTCTCTCAGAGCGCTCCGGAACGCTCTGAGAAGGCCACGGCGCCCGAAAAACATCCTCCAGAGCCGCCAGCTCTCAGAGATTCTCGAGCTATCCTCACCCGAAGTTGTCCTCATCCTGGCTTCTTCTTACCTCGGGATCTTCTGGTTGACCCAAGTGGGGGTCCAGCTACGAGGGGGTGGTGCAATAAATCTGGTGCAGTAGATTGTGGGTTGCAATAGATTTGGGGAGTGCAAAACACTGCGGGGCGCAACTGTGTTGCTGGTTTCTCGCGTGCAATACAGAAAGTGCAAGACAATGCAAGACATTTCTCTGCCGCAGTGCATGTGCAATACAACTGCCGCAAATCTATTGCACCACCCCCTTTCAGCTGGACTGCGGAACAAAAAAGAGGAACAAATTGCATAAACATCAACTTTCGGCGCTCCGCGCGGATTTCTTGGAATTGCGCTGGGGCCCCCTGCTCCGCGCGCCAGGGAGGAGGGCCCAGCGCAGGTTCAAGAAATCCGCGCGGTTTATGCTCATGTTGATGTTTATGTCTATGTTTATGTGTATGTGTCTGTGCTCTTGTTATGGTTATTATTCGTATTATTATTAATATTATTATTAGTATTATTAGTAGTAGTATTATTATTATTATTCGTATTATTAGTATTATGATCATGATTATTATTAGTACGATTATTATTATTAGTATTCTTACTATTACTATTATTCTTATTAGTATTATGAGCATGATTATTATTATTATGATTATTATTAGAATTATTACTACTATTATTATTATTATTACGATCATGATTATTATTATGATTATTATTATTATTCTGCTCCTGGCCTCGTCTTGCTTCGGGATCCTCCCATCTCGCTGGCGCCCCCGCGGGCTTCCCCGGCGAGGCGCGGGCCGCAGCCCAGCACGCCGCCAGCGCGAGGCGGCGGGCCGAGGCCCTGGAGCGCGGCGCGCGCGAGGGGTGGCCCTGGGCCCGCGCGCAGCCCGGGGTTGCCGCGCTGGCCGGAGCCTGCCGGGGGGAGGGAGGGAGGGAGGGAGGGAGGGAGGGAGGGAGGGAGGGAGGAGGAGGAGGAGGAGCGAGGACAAAGGACAAAGACGGTTGGGAGCAACTCCGAGCAAGCACAGCAAGAATATTGGGCTTGCGGAGCGTCCAAGTTCCTCCGTAGGAGAAGAAGGAAGAGGAGGATGAGGAGAAGGAGGAGAAGGAGGAGAAGAAGGAAGAGGAGGAGGAGGAGGAGGAGGAGGAGGTCCTCACTAGGAGGAGGAGGAGGAGGAGGAGGAGGAGGAGGAGGAGGAGGAGGAGAAGGAGGAGGAGGAGGAGGAGGAGGAGGAGGAGGGGGAGCAGCGTCAGGGGGAGGGAGAGTAGTACTTATATTGTTTATTTGTAGAGGGGAGGGGACAAGCTGGGTGCGCTCGCGCCCTATCTGTCATCTTATACATATTTCCCATCCCTTCCCCTTTTGCTGATGCTTTTCTCTACTCGAGGACGCGTGTCATTGGCGACCTGGAACTCCACAGAAGACCCCATCGTGTTATGCGCAGTTGGAAAAGGGAAACGTGTGGGACCTATGCGACCCCGCGGAGCTCTGTGGCCTGCGGGACCTTTGAAACCTGCGGGACTTGTGGGATTTCTGGAACCTGTGGGACTTGTGGGACATGTGGGAATTGTAAGACCTGTGCATGAGACACCTTTGGGACATGTGGGACTTGCAGGACGCGGGACCCATCGGACCTGTGGGGCATGCGGGACCTGCGACACCTGTGGGACCTGCGGAACTTGTCCGACTGGTGGGACCTGCGGGGCGACTTGCGACACTTTTGGGTCCTGTGGCACCTGCGGGGACTGCGAGACGACCTGCGAGACCTGTGGGACTTGCGAGATTCGTGGGGTCCAGAGAAGTGGCCCACGCTGGGGAGGCAGAGCCAGTCTGGACGACGGGAGCGCAGGGCCTATCCGAAAATGAGGCACACGCGCGACCCTGGCGTGGTCGGCACTCGGGCCAGCGCCCCGAGGCGAGGGAGAAGGCGGCCGCTGAAACTGGCAACACGCGACCTCGACTCCTACCACTGCTGATCCTGGAGGCAGCGGGAGTGAGAAAGAGCACGGCGCTCACGAGCTCGAGCCCCATTTTCATGCAACCGCTTGGAGATATCATGCGCGACCGACCCGTCGCGAGAGACCGCGATCTGGAAGCCTCGGCCTCGCTCCCAGAAGGCGCGCAAGGCCTCTCTGGGCCCGCGCGCTGCGGGGGGGGGGCCGCCGCCGCTCCCGCGGTGGGGCGGCGCGCCGATGCCGCTCGGCAAGCGCCGTCGTCGTCGCCGCCGCCGTCGTCGTCGTCGTCGTCGTCGTCGTCGTCGTCGTCGTCGTCGTCGTCGTCGCGTGCTTCGGCGGCAGCAGGCGTTCTGCCCCCAGGCGGCACTTGGCGCCCCCCGACCGCCGTGGGACCCTGCAGGCCCTCTGCGGCACCACGGGCGGGCCAGCACCGCGAGGGCCCGCCCGAGGAGCGCGGCGGGGGCGCGCCGGGGAGCGGGGCGCGGCCCGGTCAGGGCGCGGCGCGGGTTGGGCGGCGAGGGCACGGACCCGCTGGTTGGGTTCCCGCCGGGTTCGGCCGCGCGCAGAGGGGAGCACAGTCAACCCGCGCAGTGAGGATGGGCAGCCTTGCCTCCTCGGTCCATCCTTCGCCACGTTCGTGGGCCGCGCCCCGCTCGGAAAGCTTCGAGATGGGCGTCCAAGGCCCTTGCATCCTTGTCGCGCATCCTCATGATACGGGCCGACTGCAGGGCGAGGGGGGGAAGGCTTCTTAGACGCAGCCTCCCTCTAAGAGGCCTTGCCACCAACACAGGGTTGGGCCCCCGCTGGCTCTTTTAAAGACGCCACCGTGCTGAGCTCGCTCGGGCATACCCAATGCGACCACACCCAAAACGGCCATGCCCAAAACGACCTCCCTGAACTTGTTCAGGCATGCTCAGAAGCATTAGCACACGAGATGCCAAAGTACAGTTGTGACGCACGCCCAACGACCCCACACGCCCGCCTTACGCGCGCAGTCCTAATTTGGCCTCCCAGAGTTTTTAAAGAATCAACGGGCGCCCAAACCCAGGACAACCTGCACGCGGCGGGCCTGAGCGCAGGGAGCGGCGACGCCCGTGTCTTGAGCCAGGGTGCCTCTCCGTGTCGTGCCAGCGTCCGAGGTCGAGGTTCGGCGCACCAGCAGCCAAAGATCAGATCGAAGCCTGCTTCCGAGAGGGCGGCGAGACACAATCGCCGCGCCGAGCTATGGCGTCATCGGGCTTCGGAGCGCGCTGGTGAGGGCAGCGCGGCTGCGGGTGCGGCGCTGCCTGGTCATGGCGACGGTTATGGCGCCAGCAGCGGCCGGCTTCGCGTAAGAGTGGCACTTCGCTGTAGTGACCTTTGGTGCGGGCTCACAGGGGTCGCCTCAACACGTTCCTGCGCGCTTGGATGTGACCTGCCCGCGGCCCTCTGAAGCCACGCACCAAAGGTCACCCGTGCCTGGGGTCACTTTTGCGTGCAGTCGAAGCGGAGGCTGGTCCGCTGTTGCGGGCAGCGCGACTGCGGGTGCGGCTCTGCCCAGCCATGGCGACATTTACAGTCAAGACGCTGAGAGAAGGAACTCGTTCGGCTCAGGAGGGGTTGTGGATTTCGGGCTGCTCCTTGGATCTAGGTCGGGGACTCGAGGCTCGGGGTGGCCAGAAACGCACCGTCGTTCCTTGTTCTTCGTTCCTGATAGTAGCACGGCAACAGTATGGCGACAGCAGCGGAGGCTGGTGTGGAGTGGGAAGGGATCTCTTCACGCGGTTGACACTGCGCTGTTGACACTGCGCTGTTGACATTACGCTGTTGACACTACGCTGTTGACTTAACTCACGGTTAAACCGCCGCCTCGTGGAGTGGTGCCGTATGCCGATGGCCACCGGGCCAGAGAGGGGCAAAGAGGCGGGGGGGGCAGTGGAAGGAGGACGAGCGGGAGGAGGAGGAGGAGGAGGAGGAGGAGGAGGAGGAGCAGGAGGAGGAGCAGGAGCAGGAGCAGGAGCAGGAGCAGAAGCAGAAGGAGCAGGAGCAGAAGGAGGAGCATGAGGAGGAGCAGGAGGATGAGGAGGAAGACGGGAAGGGAGGGGAGGACGCGCGGGAGGGGACGGGGAGGAAGAGGGCGAAGATGAGAAGGAGGAGGAGGAGCAGCAGGAGGAGGAGGAGATGGAGGAGGAGGAGCAGCAGGAGGAGGAGAAGGAGGAGGGAGGAGGAGGACCCCTGGTTCCTGGCTCCTGAGGTGACAAACTTGGATGGAGATGGCCCATTTTTTTCCGTGGGGTACCTCAATGGACCAGTCCCCCAAGACAGGCAAGAGGCAAGAGGCAAGAGGAGGCGAAGGAGGAGGAGGAGGAGGAGGAGGAGAACCGGGAGGGAGAGGAGGAGGAAAAGGACTTGTGTATACCCAAGACGCAGCAAAGATGTTGCATTGAAGCCTCCCCCGACATTCCCTCTTCACAGGTCCCTACAGGAATGTGGTTTTACTGCTGGAAGTGTCCCGTCGGAAGACAACCGTCGGAGAATCCTCAACCGTGCCAAAACACTGTTCCTTGGAATTCGATGCCGCGAGTCAACTGTACTGCTGCGTCCTGGCAACTCTGCACCGTGCCAGAACACCATTCCTTGGACTTCAGCACCGGGAATCAGTGTGACTGCTGCGCCCTGACAATCCAATTCCGCTCCGCGCCGGAACACTATTCCCGGGAGGTCAACCATAAGAACCCGTGAAGTTCTTGCAAACGTTTCTGACGAATGCGCGCGGCGCTGAGGCGAGAGCCACCTTTTGAAAACAACCCGCCCTCCATCCGTCAAATCTTGACAAGCTTTTAAAGCGAATGCTCGCTGCATTAAGGCTAGAGTCGCACTTGTGCCCGATCTCTGTGACATCCCTGCGAACGTTTAGAACGAATGTGCGAGGTGTTGCGGCGAGCTCCAGATTTTGAAAATGGCCCGCTCTTCAACAGTGAAACTCGTGCAAGAGTTTAACACGTGTGCACGGCGCCAAAGCGATAAACAAATTCGCAAAACGATCCGCCCTCCATCCGCGAAGCTCGTGGAAACGTTCAAGACGAATTCGCGCGGCGCGAAGGCGACAGCCACATTTTGAAAACCACCCCTCTTGCAAATTTGCAAGGCGAATGTGAGCGGCCCTAAGGCGAGAGCCACATGTTGAACATGGCCCACTGGCCCGCCCTCCATCCGTGAGGCGCTGCAAATGTTTAACACGAATGTGCGCGGCGCTCAGGCTTGCTCCACATGTTGGCCCTCCACCCGTGCAATTGGTGCAAACTTGTCATACGAATGTGCGCAGCGCTAAGGCTAGTGCCACACGTTGAAAATCACCCGCCCTCCATCCGTGAAGCGCTTGCAAGGCGAATGCGCATGACGCTAAAGCCACAGCCAGATTTTAAAAAAACGGCCCGCCCCCCGTATCTTTGAAACTGATGCAAGTTGTTAAGACGAATGCGCGCGACGCTGAGGCGAGAGCCAGATATTTGAAACGGCCGACCTCCAACCGTCAGGCCCGAGGAGGAGGCGGGGGAAGAGGAGGACGAGGAGGAGGAGGAAGAGGAAAAGGAGGAGGAAGAGGAAGAGGAAGAGGAAGAGGAGGAGGAGGAGGAGGAGGAGGAGGAGAAGGAAGAGGAGGAGGAGGAGGAGGAGGAGGAGGAGGAGGAGGACGACGAGGAGGGCGAGAGAGGAGGAGGACGAGGAGCAGGAGGAGCCAGGAGGAGGAGGAGCAGGAAAAGGAGGAGGGGGAGGAGGGGGAGGGCAAAGGGGAGGAGAAGGGGAAGCTGGGAAGGAGGAGGAGAGGTGGAGGAGGACGGGGAGGACGAGGAGAGACGGGACCCGCATTCCGAGGCTCCAGAGGCTCCAGAGAAGGAGGAAGAGGAGGAAGAAGAGGAGGAGGAGGAGGAGGAAGAGGAGGAGGAGGAGGAGGAGGAGGAGGGAGAAGGATCAGGAGGAGGAGGAGGAGGAGGAGGAGGAGGGTGACTGCCCCCCAGGAGCTCTGGGGGCCGCGGGCGTGTTCGGCCCAGACGCGTTCGTGAGCCGCTACGCGAAGGTCTTGCTCCGCCCGTGGCCCTCCCCTGGGGTCCCATCTGGGGAGGTGCGGGGCGACACATTTGGAGGGCCCCAAGCGGTGCGGTGACCACACGGCCTCGTCCCCTGGGCGGCTCGAGGATCCAGGGTTCGAGGCTTGAGGGTCAAGGTTTTCGTGGCGTCCTCCGGCCTCGAGGGGAGCGCTCTCGTCGCCACCGCCGGACTCCCCTCGAGCCTTTGGTCAAGACGCGCACCCCTGGAGAAGTCCGACGGCAAATGCTTCACCACGTCTGGCGGCCCGAGGCGTCGAGGGTCGAGGCACGGGGCCGCCCCAACGGTGCGGTGACCACACCGTGTAGTGAGTCATTGGGAACTCGAGGAGACCGCACGCTTCTGGCACTTGGGGTCTTTCTGCGAGGACGTTTCGGGCGATTGGGGAGGGCCTCCAGGGTACCAAAGCGGTGCGATGACAGACCGTGCGGTGAGATCGTTTGAGGTCTCGAGGTCGCCGCACGGTCTGTCACCGCACCGTTTTGGGACCCCTCAATCCAGCCTCCCACGGTACGGTAGGTGATCGCCGCATTGAAGTGGCGCGTGTGAGGCGTTGTGAATTTCGCAGCGCATGCGATTTCAGACATAATGGCCGTGCGTGTTAGACATCTGTGGCCGAGGAGGCGATTCCGCTGGCGTGCGGAAGTCACTCGATTCTAGGGCAGAGTCCTCGCCACCGTTACAATCGGATTCCCAGTTAGAATCATGATCCGGGTCCTGGTCTTGATCTGAGCACTTTCCCAAGGTTTACTACCATTCCAAATTCTAGACGCTACGCGTACCCCACCAGCCGCCTGCAGCCTTTGGTTTTTCCCCCGCACACTGTCTCGGTTACACCGCACAGCCGCTCGGCTTGTGCAGTCGGCAAGGAGTCTGGCGCCGTCCTGGCGACTCACTTCGCTGCATCCGCACATTCTCGGCGGCCTGATCACTTCGGTTCGGGCTGCTGCGCCCAAGTGCGTTTGCCCTGTGAATTTAGTTCATATTGTTCTGTGCACGTGCAACTGCGAGTTTGTCTTGCAGGTGCGAGCTTTGTCCGCCGACTCTGGCGGCTAGGTTTGCAAATTAGCCCCGTACCGTGTCCCCGACGCCGCTTCCGCTCCCTGTCCGTCGCCTCGGAGCCGCCGACCAAAAAAAGTACCCCCACCAGCCCATCCACAAACGATGCGTAGAGGAGGAGACGAGGAGGAGGAGGAGGAGGAGGAGGAGGAGGAGGAGGAGGAAGAGGAGGAGAAGGAGCAGGAGGAGGAGGAGAGAGGAGGGGACCGGCCCATCCAGAAACGATGCCCAGGCGAGTTGAGGTGACCAAGAAAGTGTGGGAGCAAAGAGGGGGACAGCCGAACCGAGCGAAGGAAGGTTGAGGAGAATGATGACGCTGAGTGGATGGACGGATGGATGGATGAGGGAGTGGGGAGAAAGATGATGAAGAGGATGAGGAAGAGGAGGAGGAGGGGGAGGAAGAGGAGGAGGAGGAGGACGAGGAGGAGGAGGAAGAGGAGGAAGGGGAAGAGGAGCAGGAGGAGGAGGAGGAGGAGGAGGGAAAGGCGGAGGAGGAGGAGTAGGAAGAGAATGTGGAGAAGAAAAATGAGGAGGACGAGAACCAGCAGAATGGCCAGAAGCATCTGAAATGCCTTTCGGATGTCTCTCGGAAGCCTTTTGGATGCCTCTTGGGGCGTCTTGGGGGTATCTTGGCGATCCAGGGGGGCTCTTGGGCGTCTTGCGCGCCTCGGGGGGGGGAGCCTCTTTGGGCCGCTTGGGTCCTCTTGGGGGCCTCTTGGGAGCCTCCTGGGGCCATCTTGGGGTCCTCTTGGGGCCTCCTGGGCGCATCTTGGGGCCATCTTGGAGGAGATCGATCAAAGAAGAGGGTGGTGGCAATTAGCGTCCCCCCTCGGGAGCCTCTAAAATCGCCTCTTGGAACCCTCTTGGAGCGCTCTTGGAGCGCTTTTGGGCGCTATTGGGGCCGTCTTGGGGCTCTCTTGAGCCCCTCTTGGGGCCTCCTTGGCCCCTCTTGGAGCCATCTTGAGGCCTCGGACGGCCATCGGAAGCGAAAAGGCGAGAAGGTAAAAAGTCACTGGTTTTCCTGAGGTTGTTGAAGGATGTTGGCCTCTTGGAGGCCTCCTTGGGAGGCTATTTGGCCTCTTGGAGCCGTCTTGGGGCGGTCTTGGGGCCTCTTGGAGCATCTTCAGAGCCATCTTGAGGCATCTTAGGCTATCTCGAGCCATCGTGGAGCTCACCTTGGGCTCTCCGAAGCGCTCTTGGAGCCGTCTTGGGCCATCTTGGACGCTCTGCCGACCAGCGGCCCCTCCCCCCCCGTCCAGGTCCAGGGGAGGGGGGAGGGGGAGGGGTAAACCCCTCCCCGAAGGGGAAGAAGCAGGGGTGGAAGAGAAAACTCCCTAAACCACCTACGCCCAGAGGGCTGGTGGGATTCTAAACCATTCTCAAGATCAATCCTTCGTGCCCGTGGTTTCTTCCTTCCCTCCTCCCCCCTCCAGCCCTTCTCTTTTAGAGGACTCCCTCTCGCCAGACCACAGAAAGTGGCTACAGGGCGGGCCAGGCGTTTCAACGTGAGACTGGCTCTCAGAGTGTTCTGCAAACGGTGTTCGCATGCAGGGGTCCTCGCTCAGCTTTCGCGCTTAAGGCGATGGGGCTGTCCAGGTTTCCCCAGGCAGCTGCCCGTTGCCCCCCGTGGGCGCCTCGCAGACGCACCATGGCGTGGATGGGTCGGCCGAGGCTTCGTGGGCGCTTCGTGGTGTCCTGGATGGATCTGCACCGGTTTCGCCGCGCTGCCGGCCGCGGGCGCCTCGTGGGCGCACACGTCCCGGATGGGTCTGCGGAGGTTTCGCCACGCTGCCGCCCATGGGCGCCCCGTGGACGTCCGCATAGTTTGCAGCACAGAGCTTGCATCGCATAGCCTTGACAGTATTGCTTGCACCGCAAAGGCTGCACCATACAGTGTGCACCACACTGCTGACATCAGATAGCCTGCACGTCACAGCTGGCACCGCACAGTTTACACCACATCGGCTGCGCCGCCAAGTGTACACCGCGCAGCTGACATTGCACCACGTAGATGACGCGACCTGGATCACACCACACGTGTTGCACAGCAGCGCTTATACCGCACTGATTGCACATCATAGTTGACGCCACATCGATTGCACCATAGCGCCTACACCAAGCTTTGCACAACCTCGGCTGCGACGTCTTGTCTACACCATACACCACCTAGCGTGCATAACAAAACTTGCATTTGATGCTGCAACCCATAGCTCACACAACCTGCAAATACCGTCACATAGCTCACGCCACAGAGCTTACACGGCCTAGGTCACAACACATAGAGTGCGTATTGCACCACGTAGGTGAAATAACCATAACGCAACAACCAGACACAACAACAATTACACAAACACAACGCACGCATTCTGTGGCGCCCGTGTTGGCTAACATGACCCTGAAGCTTGACCTTCCCAACTGCTACACGGATAGAGGGCGGTTGGTTTCAACATGTAGTTCTCGCTTTATTGCCGCGAACATTCATCGCACAAAGTTGCACGGGTTACAAGGATGGAGGGCGGTTGGTTTCCAAAATGGGGCTCTCCCTGTAGCGACGCGTGCATTCGTGTTAAACGCTTGCCAGTTACAAGGATGGAGGGCGGTTCCTTTTCAACATGGGAGTTGGCGCCGCCACGCTCGTCTTGAGAAGCTCGCAAGGGTGACAAGGATTGAGGGTACTTTTTCAAGATGGGGAACATGCCCAAGTGCCGCGCACATTTGTTTTTATACCTTGCAGCGGCTACAGGGCTTTGAGGTCGGCTCTGGTTCAAAATGGGGCTCTCGCGTGCGCTTTCCTGAAATTCAACGACCAGGACACTGAACATGTGTGACGGGGCACGGATGGAGAATGACTCAGTCTCAAATTGGGATTCTCGCCCGGGACTTGCCCGAAGTGCGTGGCCCCGCGCGTGCAAACTTGTGCAGCAGCGACACGGGTGGGGGGCGGACGGTTCTCAAGACGGGGCTCTCGTTGGGCACCTCGCTCGACTGGGTGATCGTGCATCTCCGCATTCCTCCTATACCACTAGAAGGATGCACGGCAGGGCGTTTTTCAAAAAGAGGGCTCTCGCCCGAGAGGCAGGCCCGCAGCGCGTTGGTCTTTCGAGGGGGCGCCTGCTGCAGTGTAAGAGGGGGCTTGCAGGGACTTGCGCAGCGGGGACTTGGGACGGGCGGGTGCGGTGCAGCATCGTGGAAGCAGTTCGTGTTCATGTTGGTCCTCCCCCTCGTCCTGCAGCGCGCCTGTCGTGTGCGACCGTTCATGTGCTCCGTAGCCATTTTGGCTCAAGCACGGCTGGCTGGAGCCCTTGCGGGGTTCGCCCGGGCGCAGGGGCAGCGGCGGCCTCGGTTCACCAGGCGGCCATGCTCATGACGCCGATGGGAAGCCCGCCAGGGACGGGGCCGTGCAGCCGGACGGGCAGCCCTGCGCGCCGCGACGCTGAGCCAGACCTAAACGTGTCGGCGAACTCGGAGGGCGACTCCGGCAAGAGGGCGCCTTGGCCACACCGTTTTGCACAACGGCAGGATCTGAGGCTTCTCCGGGGAGAGGTGATCTTGATGGCGGGAACGCCTCACGTCATCGTCGGCTACGACGGGAAGCACGAGGTGTATTTATGCTGGGCTGGCAACGCCGATGGAGGATGCGACACCTCCCGGCTGATCTCCGTCAGGCGCTCGCTTGCGCACACCTCCCAGAAGGACCTGCACGCAGATTCGACAGCGATGCCGCCGCTGCCGAGCATCGACCACATGGGCCGCCCAGTGCGGTACGAGGGCAAGGCGGGCAAGCTCACCGCGGAGGGCGCCTCGGCTCTGCCAGCGGCTGCGGATGGCGTGGGGCTTGCCCCAGGAAATGCCATCTCGGAGGTGCCCCGCCCGCAGAGGTTCAGCCGCCGGGCCACGCCGGCCTCGTCGGATAGCGGGACAGATTGCCGAAGGCTGGCGGAGGCCACGACGCCGCAGTCCGAGCTTGCGAAGCAGTGCACGCTCGGAGCGGTGCTCAAGGTGCTGGTGTTCGGTATCGGCACAGTCGCCCGGGTGGCTGGCCAAGCGGTGTGCGGATGGTGGAGCTCTCGCGCCGCAGACGCGATGCAGTCTGGGCACGAGTGGGTCCAGCGCCGCGACGGCACGTACTACCGAGCGGTGAAGGGAGACCCGGCCAAGGTGTCCCTGACACGTGCGAACTCGCAGCCATGTGCCAAGCTCGAGGCAGCTACTGCGCCAGCTCACGACGACTTCCAGATACACATACCCATCGTGAAGCCCCCGGGCTGGCAGGAGGTACAGCCGCTCGTGCACCAGATGCCCGTGACCTTCGACGAGCGCGGCATCAAGGAGTCGCTGACGGTGAAGACCCACAGGTGGGGCGCCTTCGTGGACAGGCAGAAGGCGAGACTCCTGCGCGAGATCAACGAGATGAAGTTGTCGGGCGGCTGGGACGACCCAGAGGAGGAGGAGGACGGGGACAGCCATCTTACCGCCGACGACAACTGCACGTTCCCCTCCTCCCCCAGGGGCGCGCAGCAGAGCCGTGACCCCGACGGCTGCGGCAGGAGCGGGCTCAGTCGCAGGCACGACATCAGGGAGCTCGAGCACATGGTGGAGCGGATGGAGGACTGGAAAGACCTGAGCCGCTACTCCGGCAAGAGCATCAGCATGGCCTCCACGCAGCGAGGGAACGAGATGAAGATCCACATCCTGGCCTTCGCCGAGCGCGAGGACAGCCTCGGCGTGGACTTCATGTGGCTCGACTACAGGAAGTCCGTGGAGGTGCGGACGGAGAAGCAGAGGCCGCCGGGCGGCATCCTGCACGCGGTCTGGGCGGCCCTGCCGTTCCTGCGGGAGCCGCGCGGCGACCTGGAGGAGCGGGAGAAGCGGTGGGTGGACCTGCTGCGACGCCCGGACGTGGCGAAGTTTGCCATCGCCCTGGCGTTCAAGAACGCGCTCTCCAGCGACGGCGTGCACCTGGAGTTCTGCGACGGCTCCCTGAGGGAAGCGGACTGCGGAGATCGGGAGGGAAAGAAACACACAGACACAATGAATCCTCAATTTCCCAGAAGATACAGGAACATATGGGAAGTGGGCGGGAAGACAGAAGCCCAGGAAATATGGGAAAATATGGGGAATATTTTAATTTGTGCATTTGGGAAAATATGGGGAAAATATGGGAAAATATTGGAAAATATGGGAAAATATGGGGAACATATGGGAAAATATGGGAAAATATGTGTGTATTTATTTGTGTGTCCTTGGGCCCCTTCAGGAGAAGCGGCCTCGGGCCGGCGCAGGGGCCCCGAGCTGAAGCAGGAGCCGCAGGCCTGCTGAGCGGGGGGGGCCCCCCCCCCGTCGTGCTTGCACGAGCGGCACGGCAAGGACAATGTGAGCGAGAGAACATCTCGCCTATTTTCGGGGGACAAAAAGATACGGATACGTGTTGTCCCCCTTCGTTTTCGGCCTTTCCTGGTCCTCCTGGGGAATCCTCGTTGTCACCGCTGGATTCGCCTCGAAATTCTGGTCAGAGCGCACCCCAAGAGAGGTCCGGGGACAACACGCTTCCGTATCTTTCCGCCCCCCAATATATGAGGAATTGAAGATCGGGCCGGGCGAAGGGGGGGGATTGGGGAAGGGGGGGTTACGAAATCTGCTGCCTGCAGCCGGCTTTGGCCTCTCCGAGGGGCCCAGTCCTCGATACTTGGCCGCCTCCGGCGCCGGGGGGCGCTGGGAAAATCAGCTACATGAGCTGATTCTCAACCCCCCCTTTGCTGTCCCCCCCTTTCGCCCGACCCGAGAGAGCATCTCGCACATTTGAGGAATTGAGGAAGGCGCGGCCGCAATTTTAATTCCCTGCCTCTGGCTGCCCTCCTCTCGAGTATCCGGAAGAATCAGCACACCGAATGTATCAACCATAGCGAGCCCGCGTCAGGTGGAAATTACACTAGCTTGAATTGATACCCATGGCGACAGATAGTTCCTGCGCCAGTCTTACCAGTCTTCGCCACCCACCGTCCTTCTCCTCCTCCTCTTTCCCCTGTCTCCTCCCTCCTCTCCTCCCCCCTCCCGACGCGGGCGAGGGACTGTTCCTGTCGCAACTGCTCGTTCCCCCCCTGCCTGAAGAGATCACGCCTGCGTCGCTCCGTTCCGCGATGCGCTGCCGAGACAAAAAAATGTTCAGTGTTGCATGTGCTGTTGTTGGTTGTGTTGGTGTTGGTGTTGTTGTTGCTGCTGTTGTTTGTGGTGTTGTTGTTATGGTTGTGGTTGTTGTTGCTGGTGGTGTTGTTCATGTTGTTGGTGTGTTTGTTGTTGTTGTTGATGTTGTTGCTGCTGTTGTTGTTGTTGTTGTGTGTACTGCATGCGTGTCGGATTCTGTTTGGGCGGCGATTGTGTTTGCGTCCCTGGTGCTCGCAAAGGGCAGGTTCCATTCGAGCCTGCCCCTCCTCCCTTTGCTCGAAGTCCTCGCTTGTGGGCACCCTCCCCAGCTCTCCCCCCCCAAATCGAGGAATGCTAATGGTGCCCCTGGCCCAAGGTGCCCCCAGTTTGTCGTTCAATTTGGGAGCCCCTGGGGCCCTCTGGGCCACGTGAGGGGTGCTCTGGAGGCCGTGGGGGCCTCCCTGGAAATCCTGGGAGCACCTTGGACCAGGGGCACTTCTCTAGCAACACCCGACCAGATGCCCCATCCCGTCGTTTTTGCCCAAAGCGCTCACAGCGGCCAAGGCTCCCAGATTCCTCTGGCCTGTCGGGCAGTTCCCAGCAGTTGGGCAAAGTCTGCGTTGTATATCTTGCAACTGGTTGAAAAAAACAGCGCGTTCTCACAGGGGCATTTCTAGCAACACCCGGCCAGATGCCCCCTCCCGGCCCCCCTTTCCCTGGGTGCGCGGGCGCCTCCGTGAATTCAGGGCGTCGGAGCAGCCGCCGCTGCCTGGCCCGGTTATACGGGCCTCCGCCGAGGGACTATCTTAAGGGCCCGTGCAGGGAGTTTGCCGAGACGTCCCGAAAACGGGGAATCCTGCCCAGGACCCCTTACAGTCAACCGGCACATCAAGGATGGGCAACCTTCCCAAGGGTACCCTTGCCTCCTTGCCTCCTCGGTCCATCCTTGGCCACGTTCGTGGGCCGCGCCCCGCTCAAGAAGAGCTTCGAGATATGGGCGTCCAAGGTCCTTTTTGCATCCTTGTCTCGCGCCTCCTCATGATACGGGCCGACTGTAGGGGGAGGGGGGAGGAATCTTAGAAGCAGCCTCCTTCTGAGAGGCCTTCCCGCCAACCCAGGGTTGGGCCCCCGCTGGCTCTTTTCAAGACGCCACCGTTCTACAGCGCCGGTTTTAATACATGCTCCGGGTGCGGATCATATGTTAAATTAAAGGATTTAGTACTAAAAGCAATTGTTGAATGTATGCATTGATGCATTTGTAAGTTAATCATGTATGAAAATCCAATGCCTTCAAAATCCTATGTATGAAGACCTGCCCTGTAAGCTCGCTCGGGCACTGCCCGGGGCCGACTGCAGCGCGGACGAAGGATTGCAAAAAAAAGGATTGCGACAAAAACCCTCATGAAGGATTGCAATCCCTCGCGCAATCCCTTCTTGCAATGAAGGGATGGTTTTTGTTGCAATCCTTTTTGCAAAAGGGGCCGCCCTTCGCCCCGCGAGCCAGAGCGTTCCTCCTCCTCCTCCTCCTCCTCCTCCTCCTCCTCCTCCTCCTCCTCCTCCTCCTCCTCCTCCTCCTCCTCCTCCTTGCAATCCAGGGATGGGTTTTTTTTGCAATCCTTTTCCCAATCCCCGGGGGGAGGTCTCGGGGCCCCACGGCGCGGCGGGGCCGCAGTTCCGCTCGCCCCGGCGGCCGGGCCCCCAATTGGGGCCCCGGGCGCCGGGGCTCCGCTGGCCGCGGGCCGCCGTGGGGCGTGGGAGCGAGCGGGGCGGGGGTGGCCCAGTCGTCGAAGGAGGAAGAGGTACTCCAGATTTCGTAATAAAAGGGAGGGGGTCTGGACCCTCCAAGACAAGCCATTTCAGACCTCCCCCGTGGGGGAACCCTCCAAAACATCGTCCCCAGACCCCCCCAGGCCCTCCAAGATAGCCTGGAAGAGACCCTCTCCGAAATGAGACCCCCCTCCCTTTATTACGAAATCTGGAGTACCCCCACCTCTACCTCTGCTTCGTTCTCCCCTTTTTTGGGCCTCGTGGGAAGCCCTCGCCGCCACCGCTGGATTCGCCTCGAGATTCTGGTCAGGGCGCACCCCAGGAGAGGTCCGCGGCGCAGCGGTATCGGTACCTTTGGGTATCCCCAGGAGAGCTGAACGGGGCGGCTTCGTCGGGACGCGACTGCGACTGCGACCGATGCCAGCGATAACAAGGATCGCAACGGTCACAACGACAAGAACGATAACACTGATCAATGCTTTTCTCCTGCTGTGCCCGATGAGAGTATCTGGACGCCCGAAATGGGTATTGAAAGAATGGGTACGATGCCCAACAGCAGTTCTTGTTCATTCTGACCCGGATTCGCTGTCCACGCCGCCGCGGCCTGTGTCCATTCGAGACAGGAGGTCGCCCGCCCAACAGCGGCCGCTGTTGGTTTGGGACAACATTTGTTGTTGGGCATTGTACCCATTCTTTCCGTACCCATTTCGGGCGTCCAAAGAGTACGTGACACGGGATCCAAAAAAAGGCTCGCCGAGGATTTTGCCGACCCTCGGTGTGAATGCGCTGGCGAAGCTTGCTCGTGCCTGGAACTACGGAAGGCCCGTCCCGACGTGGCCGGCGACTGCGGATGCGCCTGATGCAAGCACGGGGATCCGCGTGACCGATGTCTGCCGGAACAGTCCAGACCGGGCCTGTGAGGATCGAAACAAATCTGATCATTGTTATCGTCGTGTCGGACCACAAGACCCCGAGCGTTGACGTTCTCCCCATCCTCCTCCTCGCAGCCGGGTGCGTCGGACTGCCCAGCCACCCTGGGAGGGGGCACCCTTTCTGGCGCTGGAGACTGCGCTTCACCCCGCGCTCGCCCTCCACCCCCAAGCCCGCGGGCCCATGAGAAGGAGGAAGAGGGAGGAGGAGGAGGAGGAGGAGGAGGAGGAGGACGAGGAGGGAGGAGCAGGGAGGGAGGAGGGAGGGAGGGAGGATGGAGGGAGGGAGGGACGACGGACGGGAGGGAGGGAGGGAGAGAGGGGGAGGAGGCAGGAGGGAGGAGGGAGGAGGGAGGAGGGAGGAGGGAGGAGGGAGGAGGAGGAGGAGGGAGGGAGGAGGGGAGGAGGGAGGAGGAGGAGGAGGAGGAGAGGAGGACGAGGGAGGGAGGAGGGAGGGAGGGAGGGGGGAGGGAGGGAGGGAGGGAGGGAGGGAGGGAGGGAGGGAGGGAGGGAGGGAGGAGAGGAGGAGGAGGAGGAGGAGGGAGGAGGAGGGAGGGAGGAGGAGGAGGAGGAGGGGAGGAGGGGAGGAGGAGGAGGAGCTTCACCCCCCGCTCGCCCCCCCTCCCCGAGCCCGCGGGCCCAGTCCTCTCGAGCCCTCCCGTGGTCGGGAGCGGCCCGGGGCGAGCAGCGCGGCGAGCAGCACGGGCGGGGTCGAAAAGACGGGCCGTCGAGCCGCCGTGCCGTGCCATCGGCGGCAGCAGCAGGGCCAGAGAGCAGAGGGCAGGAGCCTATCGGGAGCCTCGAGACGGGAGCCTCCTCCTCTCCTTCCTCCTCCTCCTACCTCCTCCTCCCTCTCCTCTTCCTCCTCCTCCTTCCTCCTCCCTCTTCCTCCTGCTCCTCCTCATCCTCCTCCTCCTCCTCCTCTCCTCCTCCTCCACATCCTCCTCCTCCTCCTCCTCCTCCTCCCCCTCCTCCCCCTCCTCCTCCCTCCTCCTTCCTCCCTCCCTCCCTCCCTCCCTCCCTCGCTTCTCTCTCCCTCCTCACTGCTCCCTCCTCGGGGCTCAAGAGACGGGGGATCAGTGCAAGCGGAGGTCAGCCAGAGCGCCCGACCTTGCAGGATCCTGCGGGGCCAGGGTCGCACTGACCCGGGCTTGGGCGCAGGATCCTGCAGGCTCTTGCAGGATCGTTCGCGTTGGCCCTGGCTTGGGTGCAGGATTTTGCAGGGTCCTGCAGGAATCTGCAAGGCCTGACTGACCTGGATCTGGATTGACCCAGGTCAGAAGATCCCCGAGCCTGCACGTATCTGGGGGGCTCCGATCCTCCATGCATCTTCGGCGAGGCTCCGTGGCGAAGACGTGGAAAGAGAGCCCCTGGGCTTCCATCACGTGCGATCGTTTTCTGACTCATGGCTTTGCCGATCAGCGGCCGTGCCCCCCCACCCCTCTGGAGTAGGTCTTGGCTGTTTTTGGCCCCGGCTTCGAGGAGCAGGCGGAGTCTCCCCGATAGGACGCACTCTTGCTAGCGGTCGCAAGGCAGAGGTCCGGCCCTGCCCCCCCCCCTTCCTCCCAGTGCCGAAACGCCGACATGGGAGGACGCTCACCTTCTCCCTCCGCCGATCCAACCTCCCTGGCAGGGAGGCCAAGGGTCTCCGCGGTCCGATCGGTCCGGTCGCGCCGCAGTCGTTCGCGTTCGATCGGCTCGGCTCGGCCGGTTGTTGTGCGTCGGTGCCGCGTCGCTGCGCCCTGCCAGACCGCCTGCGGCCTGCCGGTGTCGGTCGGTATCGGGTTCGCTGTCGGGGGGGCGTTGTCGCCGTGGACGGCCTTGGAGGCCAGCGAAGCGAGGTCGGCCAGTTTTTCTCGGATGGTTTTGGGGCACGCCGACCCCCCATCGGGGGACGCGAACTACGAGAAGGCTGGATGCAGTCGGGTCGAGTCGGGAAGGGTACCCGAGTGTTCTTCGTGCTTGTTGGATGCTCTTGTGCATCCTGGGGAGGGTACTAAGACGACGCGAAGATCGGGACAAAATCGGATCGGGATAACTCGAAATCTCTGGGAATCGGCGGGTTTGGAGGATGTAACTATGGGGCGCCGCGGCCGCTCCAGAGCGTTCCGGAACGCTCTGAGAGCGCTCCGGAACGCTCTGGAGCGATTTATCCCGATCCTAGCCCTGTTTTTGGACGCGAACTATGAGAAGGTTGGATGCAGTCGGGTCGAGTCGGGAAGGGTACCCGAGTGTTCTGCGTGCTTGCTGGATGCTCCTGTGCATCCTGGGGGGGGGGTACCCTTGGATGTTCTGCTCGCCTTGGCCGGCGGAGGGCCCTGTGCTCTCGAGGGCTGCTCTCGGGGCCCCTAGCCCTGTTTTACCAGAGAAGGGGAGCTCGCTCACGCGGCGGGGACCGCCGCAGGGCGCCCGAGGCGGCCGAGCCGGTGCTGCACCCCTGGCCGCGGGGGCGGGGCAGCGTCGCGGCCACGTCCAGGGGTGAGGGCAGCGGTTGGCGCCGCGCACCGTCGTCTTACAAGTTCACGACAGCTTCCAGCATCAGTATGGCTACTCCAGGGTTCGTAATAAAAGGGAGGGGGTCTGGACCCTCCAAGACGAGAAGTTTCAGACCCCCCCCCCCCCGTGGGAGAACCCTCCAAAACATCGTCCCCACACCCCCCCAGGCCCTCCAAGATAGCCTCGAAGAGACCCCCCCCGAAATGAGACCCCCCTCCCTTTATTACGAAATCTGGAGTAGCGTCCCAGACATTCTGTGTTGGCACGACTTACGGCTGTCAGGGCGCAACAGTCATGTTGGCTCGCAGTGTTGAGTATCAGGGGCGGCTTTCTGGCACGATTCAGAATCGTCAGGAGGACGCAGCAGAAGCGTTGATTCGCGTTGTTGAGGTCCCAGGAACGGTGCTTGGCACGATTGATGATTTTCAGACGGTTGCGTTCCAAAGGCGCAGTTCCCGCAGTGAGCATTTGTTTGTAGGGACCTATGAAAAGAGTATTTGGAGGAAGGTTTTGTTGCAACAGCGTTGATGCGTCTTGGGTTGACTCTGGTCTTCCTCCTCCTCCTCCTCCTCGTCCTCCTCCCTCTCGGAGGGAAAGCCCGCCGAGACGGGTCGGGGGTGGACTCCCACCCAGATTCCGGCGGAGGCGATCTCTCTAATACCACCTGCGTCGAGCTCGGGGGCGGAAAAGAGGGGGGTGATGACTAGGGGGGGGTGGATAGCATGGCGGGGGGCATGATATTTCCCCAGATCTCATGGCGCCTCTCCTTCCCGCTGGGCCGCGCACATGCCGCCGGTCATGATTTGCACCCCCCCCCTCTTGGACACCCCCCTCTTGGCCGCTCCCGACGAGCGCGATCCACACCCTCCTCGCCCCCCCGTGCCCTCCGATGGGCCCCGCCGGCCGCGCGCTTGAAGGCGGCCGGCGTCGGGGCCGGCAGCCTGCTCGTGAGCGCCAGCCTCGCCTTCGCGCTGGCCGGCGCGGGGGGCGGCTCGTACGCGGCGGCGGTGGCGGAGACGGCGGCCGGGCAGGCGCTCGGGGGAGAAAAAGATACGGATACGTGTTGTCCCCCTTCGTTTTCGGCCTTTCCTGGTCCTCCTGGGGAATCCTCGTTGTCACCGCTGGATTCGCCTCGAAATTCTGGTCAGAACGCACCCCAAGAGAGGTCCGGGGACAACACGTATCCGTATCTTTCCGCCCCCCAAGGCGCCGTGGGCGGCCTCCGCTGCGCTGGCGCTGCTGGGCCTCCTGGGAGCCCTGCGCTGGTTGACGGGCTTCGAGTGCCGGCTCGTGCGGGTGGTGGACACTCCACGGGCGGAAGATCCGGGGCAACGTTGGGGGGGGCAGCGCATCGACCCCCCATCGCCGATAGGGCCCAAGAGACTCCCCCGCCCAGGAACGCTCGAAGTCGCGATCCAAAGCCGACCGCCGATCGATCGTCGAGGCATCGCCGATTCCAGCTCGGCGCTTCCCCCCTGAGCTGGTCGCTCCCTCGCGTCCCCCCCGGCGAAGAGGCCCACGCCGAGGCCGCCTCTTCAGATCAGGGGGTCGTGGCAGAGTCGCAACGGGTGTTTTCACGCCCGTTCTCGGGTCTCTGGGCCGTCGCTGTTAAATTTGGCTCGGGAGGTGCCGCAGAAGCATGGCGTGGGGTCCTGAGCTCCCGTGTCGAGCAGTGGCGAAGCGTCCTGGTTTGCCTAGACACGGAATATTCAAAGAACCTCTTGTGGCCTGCACGAAATGTTCGTAGAACATGGTTGGCTGAGACTGTCATGTTCACAAACACACACACAAACACACACACACACACACACCGGGCTGCTGTTCTAAGAACATTGTTTTGTGATTGGAAAGCTGCAGGGTCTAAGAACATGTCGTGGTAGGCCTAGGGGAATGCCGTGACGGTCGGTCCTTGCTTAGCTGTGAGCTACAGCCGCGTGGATCCACGGCGTTGGGACCCCGTCACGATGTCGGACCTCGGGCTGCCCGCCGCTACGGGGCCACGTGCCCCCAGACCCAACGACGCAGCGGGCGTGGACAGCACTCGGCCCCACGGGGCGCAGGCGCACCCGCGTCCGCGGCCTCGCTGGGTCGGGGGGCGGGGGCCGGTGCAGGACACGCTCGTCGTCTCCTCCGAGACCGGGGAGGTGCAGGCCACGCTCGGGTTGTAGCCCTGGCCGGTGATCACAGGCGCCAGGCGCCGCGGCGCGGAGGTCGATTTCACGCAAGAGTGACCCTCGAAAGACCTTTGGCGCGCGGCTTCAGGGGCGCCCGTGGGGGTCCGACGCAACTGCGCAAGCCGCTGCTATCGCGCCGCATCCAACGGCTGACGGGACGCGCCCTTGAAGATCATTCGCGCTGGCGGGAAACCGCGGAACTCCGCCAAGTCGATTCGAACGCTCCGAGTGGCACCACGGAGGCGCTGCGAAAGCAGACGCTGCCGGGGGCCATCGCGATGAGGTCTGGCACTGCCGGGCCGCGTCGCAATGACGTCTGGCCAGGTCTGGCGTTGTGGCCAAAATTGGCCTCCCCCCGGCGGGCCCAGAATCTGCTCGATTTTGTTTGGGTAACTGACAATAGTGAAGAACCCCATCAGTGTATATATGTACATATAATACGATTCGGAGATATTCGAATTGGACGGTTGGGGATGTGCTCAGGCAGCTCCAGCTTGAGATCCAGATCAGTTTGGTCAGGATTCGGATGCTAAGGAGGACGCGATCCACAACGCTACGGAGCACAAACGTGGCACGGCACGGCACATTCAGCATTGCTCAGCCCTTGGCACGGCACATCAAGATCAATGCGTTCACAATTGCAATGGCCCGTCGCCCAATCATAGGCAGAAAACGCGCCGCCCGATCGACCAGCCCCCTCCTCGAGAAACCAACGCGCACTGTTCGGCCACGCGCAGAGGGGGGGGGGGGGGAAGGGGGAAGCCTTCTTAGAAGCACCCCTGCTTCTTACAAGGCGCGGGCCTTGTCTGCAGATGTGAGGCCCGCGCCTTCCAAGATGCAGCTTCCTTATGAGAAGCCTTCCCCCCTCCCCCTACCCCCCTGTGCGCGCCGCCAAACTGCAGGATGCCCCGCGCATGCGTTGCGGTCGCAGGCCGCCAAACTGCAGGATGCCCCGCGCATGCGTTGCGGTGGATTGCGAGGGGGGGGGAGCCCAACCTTGACGCGCTCAGATGCGAGCGCAACCACGCGCTGCGGGTGCCGACGCGAGGTCGAGCTCTCACTCCCAAAGAGAAGTTGCCCGACCCCCTGGAGAGGCCAGCACCAAAGGCCACTATTGCGAAGGGTCACTCGTGCGTGTAGTCTTAAGTCGAGCCTGTCCCTCTACACAGGAGGAATATTCAAGAACAGTCCAGAACTACTAGTATGGGGATGATGTTCCGATTGTTTTGTACTAATCCCAACCATCCTGTGGTGTTGGGTCCTCGCTTTGAAAGCGCCCCGCGTCGTCCTCCTTCCTCCTCCCCCTCCTCCCTCCTCCGATCATCATCAGCAGCAGCATCATCGTCATCACCACAATCGTCATCATCACCATCATCGTCATCGTCATAATCGTCGTCATCATCGCCGCCATCATCGTCATCATCGTCACCATCATCGCCGCCCATTTCGGCACATCACTCACACGTTGTGTGGCCCAATAAGGGGGCTCCACCGAAGGCCCCAGTGGCTGCGCTCGCATGACACCACCGCGCCCACGCTGGCACACCCCTCACACGCTTCGTGGCCCCAGAGGGAGCTACACCGAAGGCCCCAATGGCTGCGCTCGCATGACACCACCGCACCAATCTCGGCACACCCCTTTCACGCTTTGTGGCCCCATGTGGAGCTCCACCGAAAGCCCGAGTGGCTGCGCTCGCATGACACCATCGCGCCCACGCTGGCACACCCCTCATACGTTTTGTGGCCCCATAGGGAGCTCCACCGCAGGCCCCAGTGGCTGCGCTCGCATGACACCGCCGCACCAATCTCGGCACACCCCTCACGCGTTTCGTGGCGCCGTAGGGAGCTACACCGAAAGCCCCAGTGGCTGCGATCGCATGGCACCAACGCACCCATTTTGGCACACCCCCTCACACGTTTCGTAGCCCCATGTGGAGCTCCACCGAAGGCCCCAGCGGCTGCGCTCGAATGACACCACCGCGCCCACGCTGGCACACCCCTCACACGCTTCGTGGCCCCATAGTGAGCTCCACCGAAGACGATGCCAACACTTGCGTGACGCACAACTGCAGATGGTTGGGTCCTTCACTAGGATAAGTTGTTGAATCTATTGTAATGGTGTCTTACACGCCGGTCGTTGAAAGTAAATATTTTTGGATTCCCAGATCCCAATCTACTTCAAGGGCCTTCCTATTTCAAGAATCGACATGCTTTTGCTGCGTTTTGTTATTATCTGGGAGGACCTGGACCCAATCTACTATATCCGCCTTCCTACTTCATGTTCCTACCCACTTCTTCCGACCGACGTGTATCTGTCGTCCGAAATCCGCCTGTGGGGAGGACCTGCCCGACCTGAGTGCAGCTGAGGAGGAAAGCCCGCCGCGTGGCGTGGGCACGAGGGCTCACGGGCGCCCTGTGCCGGCGGCGCGCACGGGGTGCGCGGCGCGAGGGGCGTGGCTTCCGGAGAGAGGGCGGGCGGGCTCCCCGGAGGGCAGCAGGCCTCGGAGGAGGGCCCCAAAGGGCCTCCGGTCTGATGACAAGGGCGCCCCTCGAGGGCGCGAAGTTATTCGCGCTTCGCGGTTTGGCTCCGATTCCTCCTCATCCTCCTCTTCTCCCCCGGGAGGCGGCGCGAGAGCGCGAAGCTGTTCGCGCTTCGCGCAGCGCGAAGCGCGATGTTGGGAGCCCTTGTATGATGTGCCAACCAACTTTAGCCTCGCTCACGAGGAAGAGTTCCGAGGACCAAGAAGGCATCGAGATCGGACGGGTTTCACTTGCCGTGCCCGGGTGGGCGACGCGCGTTCGGCATTCTGCCAGCGTGTCGGGCACACACGGCCTCGATGTTGTTCGGTGTGCTCGAAATTGTTCCTGCGGTTGGTCGCTAAGTGCGATGGGGACAGCATAACTCCAGTTAGGCTTCTCAGGAGTCGGGGAGGCTTCGAAGAAGCCTCCATGCCTTCACAGAAGCCCCCCGCCTTCTCAGAAGGCCGCCCGCCCCCCACGCCACCCCCCTCGCGCGCGCCGCCATACGTGTTCCACATCAGCGCCGCCGTAGGCGCGCTGACCGATGTCATCGCACCTCCCGTGCGGGCTCGACCAATGTCGGGCGGGGAGAGGTTTGGCAGGGGTGGGAGGAGCAGGGCAGCAGGTCCAGTCCAAGAGAGGGGTTATGGGGCATGGGCGGAAGGAGAAAAGGCAGGGTGGAGTTCCCCCCCCCACCCCTTCCCCATCCACTTCACCCTCTTCCCCTGCCCAGGCCTCTCTCAAATGGGATTCGAGAAGACTGGGTCGAAGGGTCGTGCCGCATCGCCGATGCATAGGCGATGCGGCTTGATGTTGAGACCGATCTTCTCCACTCGTACGTCGCCGATGCATCGCCGACGTCGCCGTTGCATCGGCGGTGCACTGGCGATGCGGCGCGATCCTCTGGCCCCATCTGCTCTGACCCTATTTGGAGGCCTCTACCCTCCCACTCTGCCGATTCGGCCAGGCGTTCACTCGCCGCACCCCTCTCTCCCGTCCTCCCCTCTCGCTCTTCTTCCTTTGGCCTTCCGCCGCGGGTGGCATCGTGTAGAGTATAGCGTTCGGCGGTGTTCCGTCGTAGGTCACGGCGGCAGTCGCGCAGTGTTGGCTGATGCCGCGTGGAAAAAACTCGGTGCGCCAGTCCCCCTTCTGTCTTACCTCCTCCTCCTCCTCCTCCTCCTACTCCTCCTTCTCCTCCTCCTCCTCCCCCTTACCCCTCCACGTTCTCTCATTGTCCCCCGGCAGGCTCGTGCCGTGTCGTGTTGCCGTGGCGGCGGCACCACCGCGAAGTCGGGCGTGTCCCTTTCCAGGAGGAATATTCAAAAATAATCCAAAAAAGCTGGGGACGATTCTTTACTATGTTTGTATATGTTTGAGCATGTTCTGCCATGTGTTGTTTTTCTTCCTAAATCCGCCTGTAGGAGGACAAGCCCGAACTAACGATAGACATCGGGCGAGCTGCGCGGCTGGACAATTGCGACCGTTATAGGTTGAGCGGTCCACCCGCGGTGTGAAGATACCGAGGCCGACTTTGTCGCGCCACGAGCTTTCCGCATGCCTCTTTACCATCCCGCTCACCATTTTCTCATACCACTCCCCCCCTACCCCCACCATCTTCCCGCGCCATCGCCTACAATCAAGACGCTGAGACGAGAACTCAGCGTTCCTTGATTATGGTAGCACGATGGCTGAACCCCCACTGTCTTCCCTCGCCATCGCCTCTCCCCGTTCCCCTCCCGCTCCCCATCTTACCACCCCGCTCCCCCCGTTCCCCCTTCCCCGCACCATCTTCCCTCACCGTCATCCTCGGTGGCGGCTGCTCGTGGGGACCTGTGGATGTGGAGTGGCCGGGGTTCAGCGATGTCAGCAACATTACCTCGCCATCGCCCCTGCCCCTCCTTGACCTCCTTCCCCCTCGGCGTGATCCACCATCCCCCTCCCTCATCCTCATCGACCACGACCTCCTTCTCCTCCTCCTCCTCCTTCTCCTCCTCCTCCTGCGCCTACCTCTTCCTGTCCTCCACTTCGACATCTGGCTTGATCTCCACCTCGACCCTGCTCATCCCTCCTCTCCCTCCTCTTCTTCCTCCTCCTCATCGTCATCAGCATCATCAGCGTCGTCGCCATCATCATCATCATCATCATCGTCATCATCATCATCAGCATCATCATCATCATCATCATCATCGTCATCATAATCATAATCATCATCATCATCAGCATCATCATCCTCATCAGCATCAGCATCAGCATCATCATCAGCATCATCTTCATCAGCATCGTAATCAGCCGCAGCATCATCATCATCATCACCATCATCATCATCGTCATCATGATCAGCATTAGCAGCATCATCAGCATCATCAGCAGCATCATCAGCAACAGCATCAGCATCACCATCGTCATCAGCAGCAGCATCATGAGCATCATCAGCAGCATCATCATTATCAGCACCGTCATAGTCGTCATCATCA